CCCAAGAATCTGCTTTGCAGTGCCCAGATCCTTCATAGCAAACTGCTTCGACAATTTTTGCTTCAAGTTTATAATCTCTTGCATGTCTGAGCCTATAACGAGCATGTCATCAACGTACAACAATAAAATAATGAAGCTATTGTCGAACCTCTTGATGTAGCAACAATGATCTGCTTGGCATATGGTAAAACCACTGCTACTCATGAAGCTATTAAACTTCTTGTACTACTGTCTAGGAGCTTGTTTTAAACCATACAAGCTCTTCTTCAACCTGCATACCAGGTTTTTCTTGCCTGCCTCTATGAAACCTTCTGGTTACCTCATATAGATTTCTTCCTCCAAATCACCATGAAGGAAATTTATCTTCACATCTAACTGCTCAAGATGTAGATTCTCTGGAACTACAATTTTCAACACCAGTATGATTGTAGACAGTTTCACGATTGGAGAGAAAATTTCGTTGTAGTCAATATCTTCTTTTTGCTGAAAGCCTTTGACAACTAATCTTGCTTTGTAGTGTTTGCTCCCATCGTGCTCTTCTTTAATCCTGTAAATCCACTTGTTATGGAGCGCTTTCTTACCTTGTGGTAATTCAGCTAATTCACACGTCTGATTTGACATAAGCGAGTCCATCTCATCTTTCATGGAAGACTCCCACTTGACTGAATCCTCCACTTGCATTGCTTCATCATAGCACTCTGGTTCACCATTGTCAGTCGGCAATAAGTAGTGCAAAGAAGGAGAATACTTTTGGATTGGTTTAGGAATTCTGGAGGAGTGTCTCAGTTCTGGTGTGCCCGGTTCTTCTTGAAATGCTTCAGGATTGACCTGAACATCATTTCTAGAAATCTCATCGAACTCAACAAATTCCTTTGTTTCAGCTTCGGTATTGGAGCTACTTGATTCTACAGTTGACCTGTCTTTGTACATCACATTCTCATTGAAAATAACATCTCTGCTTCTGATGATCTTCCGATTTTCGTAGTCCCAAAATCGGTAACCGAAATCATCACCACCATAACCAACAAAGACACATTTGTTGGACTTGACATCAAGTTTACTTCTTTCAGCAGAATCTATGTGTACATAAGAAATACAACCAAACACTCTTAAGTGTGAAAGGCTTATTTCTTTCTTGCTCCAAACTTCCTCTGGTATTCTTCCATCCAAAGAAACTAAGGGCCCACGGTTGATCAGGTAAGCTGCAGTGTTGATAGCTTCAACCCATAGAAATTTGGGCAATCTGGCATGTATCCTCATGCTTCTGGCACATTCATTCAGAGTTCTGTTCATGCGCTCTGCTACGCTATTCTGCTGCGGTGTCATGGGAACTGTTGTCTCCATCTTGATCCCATTATTTGTGCAGAAATCTCTGAATCTTCTATTTTTGTACTCTCCTCCATTATCAGACCTCAATCGCTTGACTTTCAAACCAGTCTCATTTTCTACCATTGCTTTCCATTTTCTGAAGGTATCAAAGACTTCTGATTTATTCTTCAGAAAATAAACCCACACCCTCCTTGTTGAATCATCGATGAAGGTGACATAATATAATGAGCCTACAAGAGATGTAACTGGAGATGGTCCTCATACATCAGTTTGAACCAACTCTAACTTTTCTGCCTTGGGTGTCTTACCAATCTTTGCAAAGCTGACTTTCTTTTGTTTGCCAAAGATGCAATCCTCGTATAGTCCGACATCTACATTCTTTAGATCTGGAAGCTTCCCTTTTGACAAAAGTGTCTTCATCCATTTCTCGCTCATATGGCCAAGCCTTTGGTGCCATAGGTTTGATTTTCCATCAGCATCTGCTGCATCAATGATATTCTCTAAGTTTGAGGTTACATAGAGAGTACCAGTCTTCTTACTACGAGCAATGACGAGTGCTCATTTGGTAATCTTCCATTCACAGCCTGAAAAGGTTATGCTATATTCTTCTCCATCAAGTTGTCCAACAGAAATCAAATTTCTTTTGAGACCAGGAATATGTCTCACACCTTTCAGCGTCCAGGTGGCCTGGCTTGACAACTTTAGTCGGATGTCTCCTCTTCCGACGATCTTCAAGGTTTCATCATCAGCTAGATGAACATTCCCAAAATCACCACTAACATAGTTCTCCATGATTTCTCGGCATGGGGTGGAGTGGAAAGATACCCCTGAATCCAAGATCCATGATTCAATCGGACTGTTGACACTTAGAATCATGGCATCACCTGTCTCATCTGTCATGTTGGCAGAATCCTGTGCGTCGATATCTTTCTTCAGTGCTCGACAATCTCTTTTAAAGTGACACTTATTGCCACAATTATAACATGTATAATCTTTCTTTCCCGTTCTTGATTTTCCCCTTCTGGATTTGGATCTGCCACGATTTGAATTCTCTCTGAAGTTCTCCCTCTAGACTCCATGTGCAAGGCTGAGGAGGTTGATGCTTCACCTGATTCTCTTCATCGAATTTCTTCACTCAATACCAGATCCCGAACATCGTCGAATTTTAATTTGCTGTTTCCCGACGAGCTACTGACTGCTGTAACAGTAGCATTCCAACTGTTTGGTAGAGATGATAAGAGAATTAAAACTCGAACTTCATCATCGAATTCAATTTCCACGGAACTCAACTGGGTTGTGATTGTGTTGAGTTCATTTAGGTGTTGAGCCACTGATGCCCCTTCCGCCATCCGCAAATTGAATAATCGCCTCATCAAATGAACTTTGTTTGAGGCCGATTGCTTCTCATACATACTGGAGAGAGCCGCCATAAGATCTGCCATGGTATTTTCCTTTGCTATGATGAAAGCAACATTGCGGGATAACGTCAGTCGAATAACTCTGAGGGCTTGTCTGTCGAGAAGAGCCCAATCTTCATTCTTCATGCCCTCTGGTTGCTTTCCTGAGAGGGGTTGATATAGATTTTTCTGGTACAGAAAATCTTATATCTGCATCTTCCAAAAGCCAAAGTTCGCACCATCGAACTTTTCAATTTTCACATTCCCTTCGTCTGCATCCATCGCTCCCACTCGAATCTGGCTTCGTTTGGATCGTTTCTAACAATTCTTACGAACCACCGTGTATTACAACACCTCCGTCGACAAATTCGTACCGCCAACAAAATTTTTACTATTCACGAAATTTACTATTCATGTGAATAGTAACCTCGCAAAAAAATGACAATTCACAACCAAAAGCTCTGATTACCAGTTGTTGGTAAATTACCGAGTACGAGTAATTTTCCTATAACCAGATTAGTGAGAATGCGAAAATAAAAGCGAAAAAATAATACCCAAAATTGATAATGAAGTTCAGCCAATTTTACTTACGTCTCCGAACTGCTGCAGATCTTTTACTATAGAGAAAATTTACAGGTGTTTACAAAACACTCACTACTCACAAGAAAGCTCTCTAGTATTGGGAGAAAGAAATGATTTGGGATTTTAAAGCTAAATGGGCTAGGGTATTTATAGTTGAAGCTTAAGGACTAATCTTGTAAATTTCCTAAAGTGCAATGACTAAAATGCACTTATACCATTAACAATTTCAACAAAAATTTAATGCACCTCTTGACTTATTTTTTCGGTGCATGCTTTTGTTGAAATCTAAAATCCAACTTTCGGTGCTTCCCTCTCATTTTTGACTTTACAAGTAGTTGAATCCTCGAGCCACCCCAAGCACAATATTATACATCTTTTTCCAACTCAGACTGTTCTTATTTTCTTCTGTAAATATGATTTTATCCAAAAATCCATTTGACATGATGTCGTACACAAGAGCATGCTTTGATCCATCCACACAAAATCCAACAAGTTTTGCCACACTAGCATGATGAATTCTCCCAATAGAGGCAACTTCATTTATGAAATCTTGGACATTACCCTTTGATTTGCCAAGCAATTTCACTGCCACATGATGCCCACTACGAAGCTTTCCTTTAAACACCGAGTCGTAGCCCCCTTCACCTAATTTTTCTTTAAAATCTCTGGTCATTTTTCTGACTTGTTTAAAAGAATACCTGATCGACACTAGATTATTTTGTGTTCGAAGGAACTCTTCGATCTTATCATCAATTGATAGATGTCTCATCCTCCATTTATACGCAACAAACGCAAGCAAACAAAGTATCCCAGGCAAAGTTCTTAATAAGATTAGGCCTACTGTGAAGAAAAACAAATTGGAGGACGTTAGTAGTTGTGAAATAAATCCAATAACATGTTACCTACATTCTTAAAAAGTCTGTAAATGTAAATGTAAATGTAATTGTAATTGAACTTGAATTTATTTTGTATTGCAGAGTGTTTTCGTATATATGCAAATCGAGTCCAAAAGCATACCTGTCCCTTCAACATAGTGATCATAAGTTTCTGTAGAAATACAAAGACAAAATATATATGTATATCAATATTAATAAAGAACAAAAGAGGTATAATATAAGTAAAAATAATTCAAATAAACACTGCAAACCCTACTTTTATACATTTGATTACTAAGAGTGGGTTGATAGGGCCCATGGAAAATGAAATGCTTAAAACTCTTCCAATATCTTCCCAAGCCAAATTGCACTTCAAATAATCTGCAATATGGAGTATAAACACACCCAAATAAACATAGTGATAGGTTTGATGCAAAAACTCAGTAAATGTTTTTTTTATTAGGATATATAAGAAATTATCAACATTTAGCCGAATACTAATTACAGTTTTAACATTAGATTAGATTTGATAAAAAGAATTTATCAGCAATTATTTATGATGTTAAAATTCAAGCTTTTTATCGATATTGATGTTTAGCTATACTTTTCCCCGTTAGTTTATTACATGCATGAGAAATTCTTTTAAGAAATCTACGAGATAGACAATATCCAATTGACGCAAAAAAGTATTAAATGGTAAAAGGCATCATAGGGATAGAATTTTAACAGAAAAGAAAGGAGTAATTGTTTTAAACAAAAATTCTCAAGTCAATGATCTATTTAAGCATGCTAAAAAACTGAGATCCTTTGAAGAAACTTACACGTCTTGAAATGAAAGTTTGTAGATGCATTCCTCCGTGAAGTTGTACTCCAGCTCCCATCCAAGTAAAACACCCTCAGATAGCTTATTGTAAATACCCAACGTAGACATGACTAAGATATTATCAACCCCAATTAGAACCCGGGCTTCCACAGTACAGGATTGACTGAAATCAGACGGCGTAGTTCTTTCCTCTAAAAAGTAGCAATAGGAAGAGGCATTGGAGTTGATGCTACAACGAGAGGTTGAAATATAGAGAGGTGACTCTATAGGTTTCGTGCAATTCACAACAGACATAATGCTAGAAAGACCATAACCATAATAATAACGATTAAATGGAATCCGTCTTTCACAGTGTTAGGCTATAACATAACTGTTGTGTACGTGCTTGCACTATAGTATAGTTAGTTAGCTTAGGCGGCAAAGTTGTTAGTCTGTTAGCATATATTGTTAGTTTAACAGACTAGTTTCATTAGCTATAAATGGTGTGCTTGTAAGTGACAACTCAATGAATTCAATCTATTCTTTCAGCTTATACGTTTTCCAATATGGTATCATTCGCCAAACGGTCCTAACCTTCTTGTTCGTTCGCTGCATCCCCATTCGTTGCCGCTGGCTTTTGTTTCCAGTGTCGCTTAAAACGGAAAGTCGCCGGCGTACGGAGACTAAACCAGTTCATGCTGTCAGACAAACTAAGGGGATTTATATAGTGGAAGATATCGCCCAAGCTTCTGATGCATTACCCCTTCCTTTGTATCTAACAAATGCGGTGTTCGTCACACTCTTCTTCTCCGTGGTTTATTTTCTTCTTTCCCGTTGGCGCGAAAAGACTCGAGCTTCAATTCCTCTCCACGCCATCACTTTTTTCAGAGGTAAATGAAGTCTTGCTTTGTAAAGAAGATGCACATACAGTCTCTTATCGCCAAGCTCTTGATGGCTCGCTTCCTTCACTGCCTTCTTGTGCACCAAATGTAACTGCCCAAAAACTATTCGATGGAAAGCTTGTTAGAGTTACAATCGACCCGTAAGTCCCTTGCATAGAGAGATTAATGGATGCAGAGGGTATATTAGAAACTGAAGCAGTTTACAATTTTGTGGTAAGCATGTCAGTAAGTTGTTGACATTGCTGTGTGGTAAGTAATCAGTTGCAGTACTGTTGTTATTGCTAGTACCATTGACATTACCAGCATTACTAGTACAATAGCCTGAAGATTCAGAAACTACATCAGTAGACGTAGCATGAGAAGTCTTAGAACGAGAACCATACTCTCAAGGGTAACTATGTAGTTTATAACACTTGTCTTTTGTATGTTCCAACAAAAGGGTCCTTGTATAGAAGGATGGAGAAGAAAGAAATGAAGGCGAATAAGAAGAACGAAAGGAAGCATCGGCACTTTCAATTCAAGTGAACGGGAGGAAGTATAAGCACTTTCGATTCAATTGTTCATCTTTTCATCAAAAAGGTTGAGAAAGTATGGAGAATGTTAGGCTATAACAGAACTGTTGTGTACGTGCTTGCACTATAGTATAGTTAGTTAGCTTAGGCGACAAAGTTGTTAGTCTGTTAGCATATATTGTTAGTTTAACAGACTAGTTTCATTAGCTATAAAATGGTGTGCTTGTAAGTGAGAACTCAATGAATTCAGTCTATTCTTTCAGCTTACACGTTTTCCAATACACAAGTATCATAATAAGAGTATACGGAACTGAGAGGAAAGGAGTTGCAATCATCCATGTCCAGGCCCGCATCAACCACTGGCATCGCATAATTCTCATAAAAGATTTCTTCCACTAAGAATTTCCCCTCTCTCAAAACCAAAGTGGTGCGGTTATTTGTCTCACACTCAACTTCATACAAATGGTCACCACACTGAGGAGGTTGGTTTTTCAATCGGAATGGGTAACTGATATTCAAGCTTCCACAAAAAACAGACCCATAATCCTGGTTTAGATGCCTAGCGAGGCAAGCACCAGGAAATACAAGTAGAAACAAAGCAAAAGCGGCCATTAATAGCTTGCATAACTATGGCAGTGTAGCTTTTAATTTTGGCATGCTAAAATACTTGGGGTAGGGAACAACAACAACAACAACGGAGGATTAACACTAAATTCAGCCAAACGTATAACAAAACTTCAGCCTCAGAGAAAGCATTAATGTTGTCGTGGGTTAAAAGACTTTGACTGAGAAAAGCATTGACTGATAAGACTTGGACCATGGACCCAGTACTTTTCCCACTATAATTGATATATAAGATATTAAAACATATGTTTATAAATCCATTAATCGACAAATAATTGATATCTGAAATATTAAAACATATATGTTTATAAATCCATTAATTGGCCGAGAAATAAAAACAATCAATTTTATTTCATCTTAATATTTGTCTTAAAATTGTAATATCTTTATTTAATAAAAATATTTTTAATTTTAAACCCTATTATTATATTAAAAATAATTTTAGAAAAAAATAGATTTGGATAATTGAAGATTTAGGAACAAGTCTTAGATATTTATAAGCAATTAATCTATAGTTAAATTAGAGATGCAATCAAATCATTCGTATCGAATAAATCGATCCAAATAATCAAAGACATATCAAATTTACCATATTTAAGTTAAACTATAATTTGTTGGAGTAGGAAATTCTTCAAGTTTGCTAGAATGTGTTATGATGGAAGAAGAATTAGGATTAGAAAAAAAGGGAAATGGGGAGGAAATTATCTCGATTAGGGATTTGGAACGAGGAAGAATTGGGAAATGAGAAGGTTGGGGAGAGAAATGAGATTATTACCGTTGGGGCTGGAAGGGAGGATGAGTTTGGGTCTGTTGAGGCAAAACACGAGCCTGGGTAATGATGGGCCTTGGTTGATAATCTGCTGAGATGCCCAATAGCTTATGAACCTGCATGAGTCAGCAATAATTGGTTAATTTGTTAGATTTTCTGTACAGAATAGCTGGGTACTTGTAATTAGATAAAATTGTACCTGATTCCATTTTAGAGTCATCTCGTATGAATGAATGAACTTTTTCTCCTAAATTCCTTTCTATTCTTTTCTGAAACCTTCATTCTTCATCATAAATCGTGACAAATTGGTAATGCAGAAAACTAGAACCGTGGAGGTACCAGAACAAACCATGGATGTGAAAGAGGAGACTTTACCAAAGTTGTGGACTGAGTAGAAAGTTGAGTTGGAAAGAAGGATACAAACCTTAGAGGAAGGAATGAATGAAAACATAGGGTACTTGTAGAGGATCCTACAGCTGGTTAATCAAGCAGCTGAGCAGAAAGATTCACCTCAGTCAGTGAAGAGTCAACCAACAGTAGCTGAAAAACAGAATAAAAATAGAGGTAAACAACCATACTTGATTACAATTCTTAGTGAGCATGAGAAGTATATGTTTCAACCTAATGAACCAGGGATTTTAGCTTCTAAACCTGTGGGGTTTAATGGTCATCAAAATGTTAATCAAAATCTGCAAGTAGAAAATATTATGGGTAGTTCTAGTGAGACTAGGAGAGGAGATGAACATGTTGACACTATAAACTATCTTAAAAACCCTTTTGGGAACACAAGTTCTGTGTTACCTAGACCAAAATTGGAGCTACCAATGTTTGAGGGTAACAATCCTAGGGGTTGGATTAGGAAGTGTCAGAAGTTTTTTAATTTGTTTGGAATACCAGAGGAGCAGAAACTGGAAATAACTGCTATGTATTTAGCTGGGAAGGCTGAAACTTGGTTTGATGGCTATATCATGTAGAAGTATAAAGTAACATGGCATGAGTTTGAGGCAGACTTATGCCATAGGTTTTGTGACAGCAATTTTTCAGATATTATTGAAGAGTTTAACAAGTTAATGCAAAAAGGTAGTGTAGAAGAGTATCAAGAAAATTTTGAAGAATTGAAACCTTATTTGCTACAACAAAATATGCATTTGGGAGAAGATTATTTTTTTTCCAGTTTTATTAGTGGCCTCAAGGAAGATCTTAAACACAAGGTTAAGGTGCTGGAGCCTAAAACTCTATATGTTGCATATAGACAAGCTAAACTTTATGAGTTGGCAAATGAGATGGAGACAAAAAAGTATAAAACTCCTATCAGAAATTTTGCTTACATACCCTAGAATACTCAGCCAAAGAATTTGAACACTGGTGTGATGGCTAGAACAAGTCCCTTGAATAATAATGCTAAGCAAAGCTTGGTGGAGTACAAGAGATCTCATAACTTGTGCTTTAAATATGGGGACAAGTTTACCCTTAGACATCAATGCAAGGACAGACAGTTAAATTGCATGGAAGAAGAAGAGCTTGCTGCAAAGGATATGATTGAAGAAGAAAATACAGAAAAGGAAGAAATAGAGAAGGAAGCGAAATATCCATTAATGCCATCACATGTAATGTGGGTCACGCTACTTTAAGAATAGAAGGGTTTATAAAGGGAAAACCAGTAAATATACTGATAGACAGTGGAAGCACTCATAGTTTTGTAACTCCTAAGTAGGCTAAGGAAGGAGTGGAGTTAGTAAACACTCCACCCTTAGTAATTACGGTGGCTAATGGAGAGAAACTGTACAACAATGCTAGGAGCAATAAGGTGAGCTAGAAGATGCAATGATATGAATTCCAACACGATTTTAGAGTCTTATCCTTAGAAGGCAATGACATGGTGCTTGGGGTGGACTGGATGGAAGAATTCAGTCCAATTTTGATGGACTTTAAGTCCAGAACTATCAGTTTTATGAAAGAAGGAAAAATTATGGTTATTAAGGGTACTCAGAAATTACCCTTAGTCAGAATTATCACAGGAGAAAAATTTCATAAATTGGCAGAAAATGATACTGAATTAAGTGGAGAAATTTTTTGGTTGAGTGCTGAAGTTGTTGAAAGTACAACTTCTGCATCACTTCAGAATTTATTGAAAGAATTTCAGGAATTTTTTGAAGAACCTAAAGGAATGCTTCCAAGAAGGAAACATGACCATGCTATTTTACTAAAACAAGACTCTCAATCTGTGAATCTCAGGTCCTACAGGTTTACACACTCTCATAAGACTGAAGTAGAAAAACAAATTACAGAAAGGCTAGCAGCTTCTATTATTCAAGTTAGTCAAAGCCCTTTTGCTTCTCCTTGCCTATTAATCAAGAAGAATGATGGAACATGGAGATTCTGTGTAGATTACAGACAGCTTAATTCTGCTACCATTAAGAACAAGTTTCCTATTCCTATAGTGAAAGACTTACTAGATGAACTTAATGGAGCTGCATTCTTCTCAAAAATTGATCTAAGGTCTGGATATTGGCAAATCAGAATTAGAGAAGAAGACATTCACAAGACTGCTTTTGGAACTCACCAAGGACATTATGAATTTAAGGTAATGCCCTTTGGACTTACTAATGCCCCAACTACTTTTCAAGCATTGATGAATGATTTATTTGGTGAATATTTGAGAAGATTTGTTCTAGTGTTCTTTGTTGATATTTTAGTTTACAACTCTAATTTGACAGAACATGAACAATATTTGAGAATTGCTTTAAAGATTCTGTTGAAGCATAAACTATATGCTAAAAGGAGCAAATGTTTTTTTGGACAAAAACAAGTGGAATATTTGGGGCATGTGATTTCAGCACAGGGAGTGGCTACTGATCCTGCTAAGATTTAAGCCATGCAACAACGACCTTTGCCTAAGAATTTGAAAGCCTTGAGGGGTTTTTTAGGGCTGACAGGATATTACAGAAAATTCATTAAAGGATATGAAGAATTGAGCAAGCCTTTGACTAATACGCTCAAGAAGGATGGATTTTATTGGACTCAAGAAGCAATGGCAGCCTTTGAAGAACTGAAACAAGTTATGTGTAAAGCCCCAGTTCTGGCCTTACCTAATTTTGAGCAGAATTTTTTTTTGGAAACAGATGCTAGCTCAAAGGGAATTGGAGCAGTGCTATCCCAATGAGGTAGGCCTATTGCCTACCTTAGTAAGGCTCTTAGACCAAAGCATGCAAACCTATCAATCTATGAAAAGGAATATCTAACAATTTTGATGGTAGTTTCCCATTGGAGACATTATTTGGAGAGTGTACCATTTGTTATCAAGACAGATCATGAATCCCTCAAACATCTACTGGAGCAGAAACTCACTACTACTATTCAAAAAAAGGGACTTACTAAATTGCTGGGGCTAGATTATATATTACAGTACAGAAAGGGCAAGCATAACACAGTTGCATATGCTCTTTCTAGACAACAAGGAGATTCTGGAGAGTTTTTACAAATAGGCATAACAATTATCACTCCTACTTGGATAAAAGACATTGAACAGAGTTATGAGTATGATGTCATTGCACAAGAGAAACTGCCTATTTTAGTTCTTCAATCAGATGCTATAGAAGATTGGAAATTGATTAAGGGGGTGTTGTATTTCAAGAATAAAGTATGTGGGCAGCAAGGGGGATCTAAGAGAAAAGATTATTCTGGCTTTACATGATTCAACCTTAGGAGGACATTCAGGTATTCAAACTACCTATCAAAGAATCAGGTCTTATTTTGTTGGCCTAGATTGAAGACTATGATACAACAACATGTGCAGCAGTGTGAAGTCTGTCAAAGGACTAAAATTGAACACATTGCTAAACCAGGTTTGTTACAGCCTGTTTCAGTTCCAAATAATGCTTGGGAAGTCATTACAATGAACTTCATTGAAGGTTTATCGGCTTCTATGAAATACACATGCATCTTGATGGTGATAGATAAGTTTACAAAATATGCTCATTTTTTACCACTTTCATATCCTTAAGTGGTAGAAATTGCCAAGATTTACTTGGATCAAGTTTATAAATTACATGAACCTCCTAAAGTTGCTATCTCAGACATAGACAAGACTTTTACTAGTCTCTTTTGGCAGGAATTATTGAAGCAATTGGGAACAACTACTTTTTTCAGTATTGCCTATCATCCAGAAACGAATGGACAAACTGAAAGGCTTAATCAGTTCCTAGAGCAATGTCTTAGATGCATGTGTTTTGTTAAACCTAATTCATGGTCTAAGTGGCTACCTCAAGCAGAGTTCTGGTATAATACTAATTACCACACTGCCTTGGGAATGACCCCATTTAAGGAACTCTATGGTTATAAGCCTCCTACTTTAAACTGGTCAGGAGAGTCTAAGGTTGGGACAGTGCAAGATATAATGCAACAACGTGATCAATTAAATACGTTATTAAAAGAACAATTGAGTAAGGCTAGTAATCGTATGAAACAGATGGTTGATAGACATCGAACAGATATAGAATTTAGTGTTGGAGATGAGGTTTACCTAAAGCTTCAACCATACAACATACCTCTTTGGCTTTAAGGAAGAATCTGAAGTTGGCTGCGAGATACTTTGGTCCCTACAAAATACAGCAAAAAATTGGTCAAATTGCATATCGATTACAGTTACCCTCAAACTCAAAGTTGCATACTGTCTTTCACATCAGTTTACTAAAAAGAAAGGTTGGAAAAGGATGTGTACCTTCCATTGATCCTCCAGATATCACGAATGATGGCCAATTAAAGGTTTATTTAGCCATTATCTTGAATAAGTGCATCGTCAAACGCCAGAACCAAGCAGTCACACAACTACTCATTCAATGGACAAACATAGGACCAACGGAAGCGACATGGGAAGATTATTCGGTGTTGAAGACATAGTTTCCAGATTTTGATCTTTGGGGAGAAGGATCCTCTGGTGGAGGGGGAATTGTTATGATGAAGAAGAATTAGAGTTAGAAAAAAGGGAAATGGGGAGGAAATTATCTCGATTAGGGATTTGGAACGGGGAAGAATTGGGAAATGAGAAGGCTGGGGAGAGAAATGAGATTATTACCGTTGGGGCTGGAAGGGAGGAGTTTGGGTCTGCTGAGGCAAAACACGGGCCTGGGTAATGATGGGCCTTGGTTGATAATCTGCTGAGATGCCCAATAGCTTATGAACATGCATGAGTCAGCAATAGTTGGTTAATTTGTTAGATTTTCTGTACATGACAGTTGGGTACTTGTAATTAGATAAAACTGTACCTGATTCCATTTGGAGTCATCTCTTATGAATGAATGAACTTTTTCTCCTAAATTCCTTTCTATTCTTTTCTGAAACCTTCATTCTTCATCCTAAATCGTGACAGAATGGAGGCATTACTTTTCCCAATTTAATTGAATACCTCTTTTTGTATTATCTTCGTTTAACCTCAGTATTATCATTCAATAGCTTAACATATATATCACTTTAGAGGTGCAATTATTTTAAAAGGCTTTTGTTTAATACTAAAATTGAAGTTTTTAAAAACTATAAAATCCCAAGTATAGATCTCGTCCTATATATTTATATAAAATAATATTTTTAACTATTATAATGATAATATTATCGATTAAATTGGACGTACAATACAACTCACTGAACTTTGAGCCTTAGATTTGTGAGTCGAGCTCGAGCTTCTTCCTCTTTAAGCTAGACTCAAATCCTTTAGATTTCAACCCCTTTAAATAGGGAAAAATAAACTTCTTTACTGAATCACTCTTGTGTAATTTACTGAGGTTAACTCGACCTAGTAAAGTTACAAAGTTAACAAATACATTTTGCTGCCTTAACTCTGATTAAGATTTAGGTTCCAACCCTCAAAGCTCCAGAAAGGGTTTTCACTTTGGTTCTTCTGTACTGGTTGAAGCTTCGGAACGCCTCCGCTTGGATTCGTTGTCACCCAAATGCAATGAAACGTAAAGATCTTCATCTCAGCCGTTCCTTAACGATGCAAGATTTTCGGAGACAGCCTTGTCGGTTAAGTTTTTATGCATGGGAGATCGTCCGATGAAGCTTGGAATAAACTGGAGCTCTATGCTAGGACAAGCATTGATACCATCTTCCAAATGGAACTCGGTTTTTATCGTTGACGGATTCGTTTCCAGGCTGTTGCAGTCTACTTCTAATGGGAACTGTTGAGTCTGAAAACCTAATGGCTCATATTTGTTTTCGCTCTTGTCCTTTAGAAAACTCTTTCCGGGGTCGAAGAGTCCCCAACCGTGGAGGCAATAGCTGCAGCTGAGGCTGCTCTTTGTGCTTGCATTGCTTCTGCAAATAAAAAGAAATGGAATTGACCTTAGGAACAAGTTGTTAAGTCTCATAGCCAGTTTGCATGATGCATGCTAATAGATGAAAATGGCCTTTCATAGCCTAAAAGCCATAATTAAAGTGTAAGGTCAATTTTCCAGCATTATATTTGGATTTTCATTCATCACAGGGGTCCGATCATTGTTGGTCTATCTCGCCAAAGAAAACTCTTGAATTAATCAGGAAATTCAACCATGACACATAAACCTCGATTACTCACTTGGAAACGAAGAGAATATGTCCTTGAGCTAAAGGCCTTTAGCTACCTTTATGATCAGCACGAAAATAACACAGTTAATGTTCAAAAATTCAATCATCGCATCAAAAACGCACATCGCTTGAGTTGTTCTAAGCATCGGACTCTGAAGACGAAATATGATATAAGATAAAACTAAAATGATGGAAGGTAAAAGAAGTGTTAACGGAAAGGACAAACCTTTAAGCCCTTCCTCGGTAATGATAATATCAAGCTCAAGGAGGTTGAGCAGTCGCCCAAGATCAACCCCACTGGTCCAATTTTCAGGTGGCTGTCCAACTTTTAGCTTAAGTCGACCCCGGTTTGCAGTTCCACCCCATATAATTCCTATTGGCCTCGGCTTTTCCCCGTTTTCACCTTTCATAATGATGAGGCTTCCACTATCCCCTTCAAGGTCAAAACTCTGCTGATTCTCACCGACAACAAGAAAATCGGTTAAGAAGCATATGCCTTTCTCATCATTATATTCAAGGGCATAAGCTAATACAGTGCCCGATGTTAAGCCAGAACTCCTTCCAACCTTCATAACGTGCTTGCCAATAAGGCTACCAATTGGATACTGTAAATCGATAACCTTGACATCACCAATCTCACCGACACCTTTAACGGATGTAGTAACAGTGGACATGTCGAAATCATTAGCGAATGGGATAAATGCACCATCTGCTCTGAAAAATGTTTCTGCAAGTTAATGGAATTGTTAAGGACACAATTGAAAGTTCAAGCAGTGAAAAATGGCAAACACTAGGAAAACCTATTGAGCAGATCAGATGGGAACCATGAAAGAGGATAAGGAAAGAATAGCAACAAAACTAGATACCAACGGTGGGAGTTCCGCATTTAACCAACTAGTCCAATGATTGGGAAAAAGGAATCCCGATGAGATCCCATTTCAATAGTGCCATAACTACATCTCATATTCCAAATAGTGCAAGGCATTAAAAAGACACATAAGCAATGAGATCTTGAGACAAATATGTCACGTAAGTTCAAATAAAAGCAAGGTAAAAAAAGTCCGGTTTGAAAACAAATGCAAAATTAATCGAACATGAAGAAGGAAGCAAAGAACAAATCATATCTGCCCACAACCAATAAAAATGCATAACAGAGACCTGATTAAACCGTAAACAAACAATGGCATGGAGATTGTAATGAACCAATGGTATTGAATAGGTTTCTAAACAAAACTGCAAAATGACATAGTTCAAAAGCTTCATTAAGATAACTTCAAAATAGTTAAGTAGTTCATTCATGTTGAAGCATAAGCTTTCAACACAAAATCAAAAGTGAATTAGCAGAATCCAAGTTATCATAAAATTCTTACCTGGGTTTATTCCAGCAAAAATGCCATACCAAAGATCGTCTGTGATGAATGAAGTAGCTCTCTCCACTGCACCAAGGTATACACCAGGGCCAAGTGTTGGAGGCAAAGGATGGAACATTTTTTGATTTGGGTAATCCAAGTCAACTGCAACATGGCGATTTGTAAGAAACCCAACCTGTCGGCTGCCAGTTTGACTTTTCACAATAGCACCCAAAGTCCCATATGTTTCCTGGTTTGCTACCTGACTATAATATCATATAGGACTAGTCTGGAATCTAAAGCTTGCTTCGGAAGATCAGAGTTCAAACATGCTTGTACACCAAAAAGATCTACCAACTACCATTGAATAAAAAACATTGCAAGGCAACTTGAGAATACCTGAGAACCAGAGCCAATATGTGGATCACCCCCACGCAAATCATCCACAATCTCCGTGTACAGCTGCTCTTTGGGTGCTGGCTCAGGAGCACTGAAATACGAGAACTCCACAACATCCACATTGCACCATACTCCTCCTGGTCCCTGATTAAAGGATTTAATACTTATTTTACCAACATATTGACCCAAACCCAACTAAAAGGGGTTGAAACAAGATAAAACCAGTGTGTAGTAAGAATGGAAAAGGTCAAAGAATAGGAGCAATATAAGAAAGGGGGAATGATAGGAAGTAAAATCGAATTACCTCTAAGGCTGTAGGTAGACATTGGATGGGACTGAGCCATTGCTTGTCAACTTTCCTGGAGACGAAAACAAGGATAGCTGGTATGTCAGTCAGCACTCCCTTTTTAATACGAAAACCAATTGCCGTCCCAAGACTGTAGCATCTCAAAATCTTGCTATGAAATGCTCTTATGGTCATCAGCTCGAGTAATGTCATTGCTTGTTGCCCTTTTGGCAACCGACCAAGAGTCTGGGGCAGAACTCCTTTCCGTAGATTAGCGAAATAGTTCGCCCTCTCTTCAGCAGCATCATTTAACCTGCTGGAGGTCGGCCATGAAAAATAAGGAGCATTGTTATCACTGTGCTGTCCAGCTGATGCGAAAGGCTGAAGCGTCGGCGAACTAAACGAAGGAAGGTGAGGATGACAGCAGCAGTTCCTTTCTGAATCCAAAGCCGATTCATCTGAAGGTGTCGAACCAGAGCAACGAAACCTCGTATTAAGTCTGGATCGCTCCATCGTTTAGACTAGCTAAAAAGATAGTCGCGGTGAAACACCTTGGAGACCGATACAAATGACAATGACTCAAAACACAATTTGATTTTTTTAATGATTTATAGAGAAAGAAAAAGAAAGTACAATTAAGAGCTTTTCATCTTTATCAAAGAGCTTACACACTTATTGCTATTACGAGTAGAGGATAAGTACACAATGGATTTAGAACCCATCATGTTTTCATTCTTTTTCAAAACAAATTTACGCGTGTAAAACTCTAATCATATTTTAAAGCAATCAAACAATCCATCGTACCACAAGCAATCAACAAACCCAATTTTAATAACACAAAAAGGAAAAAACTTTAACAAAGAGAAATACCCAGAAACCAGAATAAACAGAAAAACAAAAACAAAAAAAGTGAAAGAAACTGAAGAAGCTTACAATTAATTTCTAGGAGGAAAAAGAACAAAGAACTCGCCTTTAATCAAGTGAAGCGCCTTTCTCCTTGTTCTACAGTGAGGCAGTCAATTGAAAGACTAAAAAAGCTGTGACTTTGGAGCAATAAGAGAGGGAAAGGGAGATGGAAAAATTCCTTGGCAGAGAAGAAAAACAGCACTTTCTTTTTGTTTGCTCATAAAATAGTGTTTAATGGCTGTGGGCCTTTCCTTAGAGCTGAGATTGAGTTAGGTTTGGGCTTTTGATGTATTAAAGTTCTTTGTATTTTTTCAAATCGATATATACGGTAAGCATATACTTTAAGTTGTAAACAAAGAAGGAAATAAATCTTATCAATTGAACTAAAATGTATACGTAATGACAATGCACATTTACGATACAATTTTAGGTGGGAGAAGCGAATTTGTTTCGCAAGATGTTGAGATATAAGTTAAACACGAGAATGATTTAGGATTATGAAAGTATTTTAGTGAAACTTAAGCTCGAAAATGTGTCTTGAGGAGAAAATGTTTAAAATAAAGTATTTTGTTCACTTAGGCACATCCTTTTTAATATATGCATCAAATTATAAAAATTAATCATTTGATTTATAAAATATCATCAACATGTGTATTTAGATGTGATTGAAGAATATACTATTTTATTAAAAATTTGAGTAAATTAGATATGATTTAACGTTTATATTTGTAATGTATGTAATAATGTAATGTATGTAAGATAATTACGATAATATTTTTTTCTTTATCCAATGATTCAACTGCCTATGATATTTGGTTATGTGGCTTCTTTGTGTGAGATGCTTTCTTGCTATTGCTTTCGACTCGTGTTCGTTGAAATAGCTCCTCCAACGTTTATTCCATAGCCTTTATATTGGCTTTTTTTAGCAAATTGTTTAAGCCTCAAGTGTCAAAGTATAAATAACTTTCTGGCTCAGAATCACTACACGAGAGTATGGTGATTTAGAAAGATTCTTTCCAAAGATATAATAAATATCTCTAAGAATTATTTTATAAATCAATCGAGACATTCAACTCTATCAAATTGCCTACTATCATATTTACTTTTCATTTTATAAGTTTAAAACTCATAAACTATTTTAAAAATAAATTAATAACACGAAATAAATAGATGTAACTCAAACTAACAAAACCGCTAAAAATTAATCGAAGAACTTCAACTTTGTCAAGCTACGCTTGAATACATTCAAAACCTAAAGATCATACAAGTTGGAATCCTATAAGGACTCCCCAGAGTTCAACAATGATGGCCGATGTAGAACCAAATAGCTTTGTGAAGTTTGTAATTGAAGGTCTTTAAGAGTTTTTTAAGACACCGCCGATTGACCATGACTTCTACAAAATAATTAGATCGTTGTCATTGTTGGCAGAGAGTAATATCATAAAGACAAATGCTTTTTATCAACTTGCTGTAACTATTGGCTACCCGGTATTGGTATTTGGTATTTGGTGAAGGGATTCGGTTTGATCCTAAAAAGATTGATGCTATTCTGGATTGGAAGACCGAGGTACGAATTTTCTTATGTTAGGCTGGTTTTTATAACCAATTCCCATTGTATCAGAAAATATGTAAACTATATACAATTCAATTGAACAACCGAGTCTAGGAGTGAACGTTAGATCAAGTCGAGTCAAATTTTTTTGAATTATTTGAGTTGATGAATCCTATTATATAACTCAAAGTTGACTTAATTTTTTTTTATTCGAGTCAAGTCAAATTTTTGAGTTTTTATTTAAATTTAATTATAAATATTTACAATATTATGACATCATTTGATTCTGATATAAATGATATTTTATAATCATATGCAATATATATTTTTTATATTTTTTTCATATGTGATTTACATATATCATACAAAGTCATGAGGCTTAACTCAAGCTTTGACTCAAACTTGAAAATCAATTTACTAATTAGTACAAATTTCGATTATTCGAGTTGTATTTTACAACTCGATTTGAACGAAATTTTTTCGAGTCGAGTTTATAAAATTACAACTCGAAGTCAATGCGAGTCGAAAAAATCGATTTTTCGAGTCGAATTTTACTCACCCCTAAGTGAGTTGGAGAAAGAGAGAAGAAATTAGGGGACACTAATGAAATGTTCAGACAGACACAATGTTAAGATGCGGTTTATCACAGATGAAGTGTATTATTTGTTAACACGTCGATAAGACTCTCCTAGAACATCATTCACACAACTACATCAAATACAAGACGGAATGGGCAAATGGAAATAAATTGCGGTAAAAAGGTATTCTACAGCTTCCGAGGAGGGGAGCTGCTGCTGCTGCTTCTTCCTCTCAATGGCCTGCATGTGAATAAAAAATATGCCTTTTACATTATAAAATCGGAAACCACATCAAGCCTCAATCTCAGTAATAGGCAGATAATTTTCGAGAATAAGTCCGACAGACATTGTGCAAGCATAACCTAGCCTCCATGAATACACAGCAGCACTCATTGAACTAATAGTGAACAAATGAAGAAAAAAGAAACCACCTAGTGGTGAAGTAGAATTTCTAATTTGAAGTGTCAATTGTGCAGTAAAAAAGGTTTCAAAAAGTAAAATAAAATTACCTCTTAGGACTGCGACTCCTTGAAACCCTTCGTCCAACCTGTCATAATTGAAAATCAAAGTCACGTAGTAAATAAGTTACTCCCTCGAAACAAAAGTAAAAAATAAAACAGACCTTCCGGGGACTGGCTGATCGGGAATAGGATGATGATCTCCCCCGTCTAGCTGCAGGTCCTCTGCCTCTACTTTAAAGATAAAATATTTGAAGTAAGATCCGAGGTGTGGAAACACGATTACAAACAAAAGTATACAATTGATAGAGAGATGGAAAGACATGAAAGGCACTAGTACAACTCAAATGCACTCAAATTTAATTTCAGCCCGTATAAATTAAATTTAAGAATCCATTCTATTCATACATTTTCTTGAAAACATTTGGCATAATGCAGGAAAAGTAGTGTCATAATGAAGAAGAAGACAGATTGTTTAAAAGCAAATGCACTACCTTGGAGGTGAAATTGACCTTGAGCGAGAACGAAGAGGTCTACGAATTGGAGAGCGGCTCCGTCTACGAATTGGTGGAGGGCTACGTCTCCGATTGATTGGAGACCTTCTTGGAGGACTACGGGCTCGTCTAGGAGGTGAACTGTAATAAGACAAGATGGTACATGAAATTATGATTGAACTAATTTGTCTAAGCTAATCCACACGTCAGTTATCACAGCCAATAACATGAACATGACAAACTATAACATTCTTGATTGCTCTGATTCGGTTAAGATCTTTATTCATGTATTCACATGTAACGCAGATTCACCTATGCCTGAAACAAAATTAAAACATTCAGAAAATAGCTCAAATGTATCGGTACCGGCGCCTTGGAGGAGGAGAACGTCTTCGGATTGGACTACCACGAATTCTGCGCGGAGAGGTCCTGCGAAGATTTTAAATGGCTCAAATTCTTTCAAGACCCGTTCAAGTAAACAAGCTATTATCTATTAAAACTACCAAACCTTGCTGGAGATCGAGGCCGCCTTGGAGGAGACAATGGAGAACGACCTCTGGCAGGAGAGGCAGGCCGGCGCCTAGGAGGTGTTTCACCACGACGACGAACTGGAGAATCTAGTCGCCGACGTGGAGACTCTGGTGGTCTTCTAGGAGATCCACCTCTTCGACCCACAGGAGATCTCCTTCGTGGTGACAGTGGGGCTTTCCGTTGAGGAGAAGCTGATTTACAGCAGTTAACATGTTGAATAACACGTAAACAACCATGTATACAAATAAAAACAAAAATTGCACTAAGTTAAACATACGTTCCCGTGGTCGTTTTGGTCCATCCCTCTCAGTATCAGCATTAACATTATCAGATTTGGGGGCATCTCTTTTAGGAGCAAGAGCAATTGGCTTTGGCGGTGGAGAAACTTTTGGTCGTGGAGGAAGTGTAAACTTTGCTCTTACTACATTTCCATCAATCTGGGCCTGCATCAAAGCAACAAATAACATTATTTCGCAAAATACTAATTCCAGACACTGCTAATAGTATCACTTTCGCATCATAGCAAAAACCTACACCATCCATGTAAAGTAGAGCTTTTTCAGCATCTGCTCTTGTCTTGAATTCAACATAGCCATATCCTCTTGGAAGATTAAGCTGTTAACATTAAAAAAGTGCCTCAATAATAATAATAATGATATCAACAACACCAAGATATAACTGGTATGAACTTACAGCACGGTCCATTGCAAGATCCACATTTACAACTTCACCAAAATTACCTACAAAGTGGGAAGATGAAGACATTTATAATGATCATTGAACTGGTGTAGCATCTAATGTTTAAAAACTATAAGAAAACAAATACTCATCCAACAAGTAGTAACTTTCTCTCACTGAAGCACTTATACGACTTAAAGGTTAAAAGGTAAAGCACATACCGAATATTTCTCTTAGATGACCTTCATTAACATTCCTGCTCAGTGAATCAACATAAAGAACCACAGACTCACGGATAGGAGAGGTCTTCCTGAAATCAATGTCAAAATGAATAAGTACAAGAGCATAAACTTCAATCTTTTTCGAGCAATGTGTAATTATAGTTCCTTAATCTCGGAAAATAACCATACTGTTAAATCTTCCTATATTATCAAGCAAAATGTATGTTTATATATAGTGTACAAAACAAGCAACCAAGTCAAAATTTATCTAGAAAATTCGCTCATGAGTTTAGAGAACAGGAAGCAATGAAAAATTCCCCGTTCTCAAAACTGTTGTTTTGGGGGGGGGGGGGCTTCATAAACAACTAACAACATAGATAACACTTATCCTGTCCTGTGAGATGAATGATTAAACTAAAAATTGCTTCGTAAAAGATTATTGGTTTTCTCTATCACTACAAAACCATACACACTAGCTTCCAAGAAATTATAACTAAGTTTCTTTTTTGACAATTATGTGATTTACTAAATAATGGATTAACTTTAAAAGTTCATCCCCTAGTTGTTAATAATATTGAACGTATGCAATACACAGAGAACAACATAAGGCCTTACAGAGATTTAAACTGACAATACTGGATAATCTGAACCTAGCATAGCTCATATCCAATATTTAAGGCCTCTGCACAAATTTAAACTGAAAATGCCAGTAAATCTAAACTTAACATGGTTTTACCTTGGAACAGGAGATGCCTTTTTAGATTGTGGAGGAGGGGAACGACCTCGCTTAGATGCATCAGCCTGACTGTGTGAAGGAAAGAAAAGAAACTCAGAAACACAAATTACATTTTGAAAAGGATAGTCTAAACCTAAAATAGCTCATATCCAATACTTATGGCCTCTTCACAAATTTAAACTGACAATGCTGGTAAATCTTTTCATTTACTTTTGCTATTGACAAGATGCAATTCCATTATTAAAAATTTCAAAACTTCTAATTCACTAATTTTTTTAGAATAATTTCGAAAGCGTCCTTAATCTGACGAGCGAAAAAGAAATTGACCTTCGACGCTGAGGAGGGCTGCGACTTCGAGAGCTGGCGCTACGAGAGGAAGATGAGAAAGATTTGGAGCGGGACCGAGAGCGAGAACTGGACTTGGAATCTGAGCCGGAGTAAGAGCGGGATCGTGACCGAGACCGGGAAGAAGAACCAGAGCCGGAGACAGAAGGTGAGCGACGGCCTCTCGTCGGCTTCGCCATTGGTGGAATACGAGAGAGGAAAGAGATAAGAAACCCTAGATAAACCCTAGGGACGTGGTTGAACTTGAGATTGTATTCTGCTGCACAGAACGCAATTCATATGAGAAATATACATAAGAGAAAAAATGTTTAATGCTCATTTTAGTCCTGAAATATACGCATTTTCTCACTTAAACTGCATACTTCTTTGAATAAAATCAGATTGAAAATCCAAATCCATGTCTTTTTTTTTGGTAAACTATAACATTGACCACCTAACTATTTTCTCTTTTTATTTTGACCACTATTTTTGAATTTTCATCAATCAAGTTATTCAACTATTTAAACGCATTCAATCAAACCGCTGACGTGACAGTTAATAAAATTAGTCTAATTATACATTTAATCTTTATTACTTACCCATTAAATCCACCAATCATGTGATGATACATGTTAGGTGTTATGACACATGTCGCAACATAGGAAAATAAAACTAATGAAATTAGGTGCCGGGGAGGATCAAACCACCGGAACAAATCCCATGCTAGTTACTTGAGTTCATATTTTTATATATATTGTGTTTTGTATTATTGAAGAAAAAATAAAAATAAAAAGCTATTGAGCTATTGATTTGTTTTGAACATAAAATTTTAATTTAGAGTGGATGCACCTAAATCAAACATTTAAAAAACGCGTACACTATTATTTATATTGTTAATATTTATTAAAATTACAAGTTTAAAATTTTTTATTTTTTAAATTAAATTGTTTTTATTTTAATTTTTTCATAATTAATTTTCAATTATTATATATGAATTATATTTTTAAAAACAAAATTATATTAAAATTTTATTTAACGCAACAAAAAGTTACAAACACAACTTAAACCACAAGACAAATTTATAATTCATGTCTTAAATTGTTGTCTTCAAAAAAGATTTTAAAAATGATTTCTCATTTATTTAAATATATAATCATTTTTAAATGATTATATATTTTCATTTTTTCTGCCATAATATAAAAGATAATATATAATACAATATGAACTCAAATTAAGTACGTGATTTTCTCCAATGGCTGAGGAGCAGCTTGAAGTGCACGGAATCCTTGGTTCTTAAATACAATTTAAGAACTTATATTCAATTTAAACCTTTAAAATACAATAAAGTACAATGATTAGATTGTTATAATCGGTTAATTAAGTGATTAAGTAATAATTCTAAAATATGATGACATAATTATTTATATGTAATAATAATAGAGTGACCTGTGGTGTAGTTTAACCAAAATGGAATAGGTGTTGCATTTTTTTTGGCGCAATTTAGAGAAGTTATCGAAGAGAGTAGAGTCCGAAGCCCTGCAGAGCCTGAATTTACGCTAGGTTTTGGATTCTCTTTTATATTAAAAGCTATATATATAAAAGCCACTGTCTTTGTTATCCGTCGACTCTTTTGAGATAGCTTTTGCTGCGTTTAGGGTTAAAAATCTGCGTACGATGTCAAGCATAATACAATTCGAGGATATCTTTGTCGTTAATAAGGTCGACCCAGTTGGTAAAAAGTTTGATAAAGGTCAAATCTTCAATCTTTACTCTCTATGATTGTTTTTCTTTCTCTAATTACTTACTTTGTATATTATTATTTTCACTGAGTTCCCTTCATTGTTCTTTAATATTTCAATTATGCATGAAATATTAAGATATCACTGTAATTATATAAATGATCAAGTTTTGATATGTTTCCCCATTTTTTTCTCATTATTTCCATTTAGAAAATAAAATAATTATGCATCCATGCTTGAACATGCTTGAACTGTAGTGCATATTCGGTTTGATGTTTACTTATGGCAGATATATAGTAGTTTTGATGAGAGTTTTCAATCCAATTTTTTGCACATGAAGTATACGCACAATAACCTTTGCCTAAAGGAACACATATTATCAATCAAATTCTAAATTGCTTGAACTAATCGATTCATCTGCAGTTTTCCCGCATCGAAGCACGGAGCCAGAACTGTGATATGTTCATGCAGCTGGATGTAAATACAGAGATATATCCTTTGGGTGTTGACGATAAATTCACGATGGCGTTAGCTCACACATTGAATTTGGATGGAACGCCTGACACTGGCTATTACACTCCGGTAATCTTACTGTTAAATTTCTAATGTTTCAACTCTTTTCTGTTTCTTTTTCTGCAGTAAAAGATGTTCTTGTTGGAGATGAAATCATTCATGTAGGCTCTAGTCTACTCTAATCTCCAGAGCTTGAGTTTGAACTTTGATCATTCTATTTGGTTCTAGTGGATGTTTTACATCCCGATTGTTTACCTTGATTCCTGACCAGAAATTTGGATAAGTGCCTCTAAAACTATTCAGGAATACGGAAAGTAGTAGTATATAGTTTACCCTTCTCATATAATATTATCGCAATTGAAGTAAACTAGAACAATGAGCATAAATTGAGTTCCTTCTGTCTCTCTGTTAGTCTGTCATCCGAAACTAGAACAATGAGCATAAATTGAGTTCCTTCTATCTGTCCCTCTGTCTGTCTGTCATCCTACTCCTGTCTGTTTGGGGTTTCGGAGGGGGTGCTGGAGAGAAAAAAAATGCGATATGTTTCCAATGTGTCTTAGACGACTAGGTGCTACATTAAACTGATTACTGTTGTTTTATGCAAAATGGGTTTGAAACCGATGTTGTTGTCTTCTTTTTTCTCATGTAGGAGTAAATAAACAATTTTCTCTTGAAGTTTGGTTTCGATAATTAAGATGTTCTCGTAGGGTTATCATTCTAACAATCAGATGCTATCGATAACTTATAGGTTCAAACAGTTAGCTATCAACTCTTGTTGGTTTCAAGCTAAAATAGTGGTTCGAAATTCCACTTTTTTGCCATGAGTACTGCTAATTGTCTTTAACATGCCGGTTTGTTGTCATAGTTATATGCACGCATGTACATATGAAAAGGCACCTATATATCATACATGCCTGATATTTCATCTCTGTATGCCTAAAAGATTGCGACACGTGTTTCAGGGGTGGAAGTCTCTTGCAGACAAGTATGAGTATGTCATGCATGGGAAGCTATACAAGATAACAGATGATGCTTCGGGGGGAGGACTTAAAGCGTATGTCTATTAACTACAATAGGTCGTTAATCTAACTTTTTGCGTCTCACAAAGTCTTACTCGATCTTAGACTTACTAAGTGTTGTTATTTCCAGGGAGTTATACGTATCATATGGTGGACTTCTAATGCTACTCAGGGGAGAAGCTTCTCATGTCTCCCACTTTGAACTTGACCAGAGGCTATTTCTTCTCACGAGGAAGCTCTGAAACTTTCGTTATATTTAGCATCTCAGTTTAAATCGGCGAAACTATGTGAGAGATTCTATGAGTCTGTAGTAGCATGAAGAGCAACACCTCAAGGCGTCAAATTTCCGGTACATTATGCTCAGGTAGCAAATAACAGTAGATTATATGCATTTTCATTTGAAATTCTTGTTGAATGAGTCCGATACCAGAGAATTATATTGTTGGAGAAAGTACTGTTATCTTATTATTTCCTTTGTTTAAACAGAAAAATCAATAAAAAAGGGTCCTTAACAAATATTGAATTGTCACATTAGACCTCTAAATCATCATCATCACAACCTTACATGAAACTTGATCATGTTTTTTCCATTAGAAAACAAGATCAACATCGTCAATAAAAAGAATATATATATATATTCAAAACACATAGAGGTTAGTCAATTCCTCCAAGGAATCCAAAATAAGATTTGAATCAGAATTCTCAAGCAACCACAAAAGATGATCAAACAAAACCACCTCACATTTAACCACCAGCATGTAATCTTCCCCTCCATACTTCTCTATCAAAGCATTCAACAACGGATGTTTAAGGTAGTTCGAACTAATGACATTCCGTTTCCTCGGCTCCCAACGTATATCGTTTGGCATTCTTGACGTTCATTGTCACTACCATCATCATCATTGTTGTTGTTTCTTCTTCTTCTTCCCATATGATCCCACACATGACAATGATGATCTTCTCGAGCCGACTTCGATCTCAAGCTGCTATATGAGGATGACCTCCCGAGTTGTCTCGACAAGCTCTTGCATTTCCGAAATATGAGATTGACCTTTTTCATTGAATTTTGTTTAGATTGAAGAAAATGTTGAAGAGATATTTTTGTTGGAAGATGGAAGGAGACTTGATTTACACTCTATGACGGTGCAGTGAAAAGGGTACTTAAAAGGGTTGGATACATGGTGGGTGCAAAGTCTTTGTATTTCGGTTCTAGAAAACAGAACAATTAGTGGGAATCGGACATAGCAACCAAACATTTTAATTATATAATTTAAAAGAGATGATGGTCATAACTTTTTAATGAATTTTGAGGGAATATAAGGTGGGTCTTAAACAATGAATCAATTGGTCTTATTATGTCAAAGTGTTAGGTCTCTTAAATAGGGGTTACAAAAAGTTTTATCTAACCCAGCCTCGACCCCCATATATTTAATATAAAAAACTAAAATATATTATATAAATTAATTATAAATATAAGAAAATAATATTTTAATAAATATACCGGAGTGGATAGGCACATTTCACCAAAATCCGAAACCAAAAATTTTAACAACCTAACTAGCCTTTACCCCTTTTTTAAAAAAAAATAAAAAAAATTTTGATTGGATTAAATTAAGTTAGAACCTGTTGGATCCGGAGAAATTGTCATCTCTACTCTTAAACAATGTTTAAAATTTGAATTCTTATATTGTAAATAGAACATATTAGATTAAAAAAATAGTCATCGATCTTTTATAATAGACTTCTTTAATATTTAATATGAATCAATTAATAAATAAATAAAATGCAAATGATTATAATCATAAAAATGAGATACAATGCTTAAAATAAACTAAACCCTGAATACACAACCGAAAAATAAGATAATGAAGACGGTGATATAGATAAAAATGTAAGATAAAGACAAAGATGAAAGACATGTCCCACACAGGATGGAAGGGCATAACAAAGTGCTTCGTCGTCTATGGTTTAAGTAACACTGAGAAAAGGAATGCACGTGGACCTCTCTCACTCGGTTAAGTGGTAGTTGCTCATCAATCTTTCTCACATGCCCCCTATCTTTCTATTTGCCTTTCTCACATAAAGGGATAAATCTAGGGTTTTCATCATACATTAATCATACCCATGTGACTGAGAATGTTGACATATATTTGTATTTATATGGGTGAAAATAGTTTTTCCCCCAAATAAACTGAGAATATTTATTCATGATTTTCCTTATTATTGACTATATATATATATATATATATATATATCTTTCAGGCGCATTTGCCCGAAGCTAGTATCTTTAGGGAAATAATACTTTCCTTAATCACTGAAATCATTTAATGAATTCTATAGACATAAATAATTATGTTTCTTATATTTATTTATAAAATATAATGTTTTATAAGATGATATATATATATATAATAGATACATTTACATCGATAAATTTAATAATTTAATTATCAAAATATTAATTAAAACGAATTTTGAAAATACGGAAACATTAAGATAAAATAAACACATTTATTTTAAGAGAGACCCCACTGTCCAAAGTACTTCAAGTAGTTAAAATTTGCTGGTGAGATACTATATTCAGCATTTTAATGATGAAAACTAATTGCCCAAACAGAGAGAATAAATAATAGAATGAATACCTTATCTTAAAAATTAATGTTTGAATTACCTAATACATAAAAATAATAATGATAGTTGGCAAGGGAAGAATTCCTTTAAAATAACAATAATAATAGAATTAGGTTGCAACAGCATATCTTGATGGTCCATTTTGCCCTAAATGTGACCAACTTTTCAAGTTTCCAACTAAATTACAAAATCATGCAAATAATTGAATCTTTTTCTTAAATGAATTATGACACTCTATACACTTGTATTTTTTAACAAAGGTGTTCATGATCAGATCAAGTAAGACTGAAATATGTTAATAACATCACATATGTGAATAAAAGAAAAAGTAACATATTATAAAATTGAAAACTGAGAAAGCAATTCATATTTCCAAAGACATTATTGCATTTGAGGTCGTCGACGAAAAAACATCATAATTCTCTAATATACGAACAAACAAGAAGCCCAGCAAACGACATGAGCAGACCAGGATCCAGGATGGGAGCCTCCAGCTTCCAAGTGAAAACAACCATGGACTCTCTCACTTTGAGTTGCTTACAAGCAAAACCTTTGATCCAAGTTTAACATCAATCAACCAGAATTAATTATCAAGCCAATGTGGGTGGATTGGTTCCAAGCTAACCAACGTGCGCGTCAAACCTCATCGACAGTCTCATTTGATAAATATGTAAATACCACTTTCAGCTCTTCAGCTCTTTATAAGAGCTATGACATGCTCCGACCCTATACTAGGATAGCTTCCCGCTTCCCCTTGCCTAAACTTTATAGGAGACACCAAAATTCGACAGTCATACCCAAATCCAAGTAACATAGCTTCTAGTTGTGTCAAATTCATGCTAAGGATGTTAGGTAGCTCGTGGAAAATTAAGAGAGAGCAACAGGTAAATTCCATTCTAAAAAATAATACAGTATGGAGAGCAATATGCAATAGGTTCCAAAAATGTTTTCAATTTAGCAGCCTATCTCATCCTCTTCGACTGCCGCGATAATCTTCTTCACTTTCTTTATCCTTAAAGAAGCCTAGCCGAAGAGGAAGAATCCGCCAGACCAGTTGCCCCCACCGCCTCCTCTGCCACCTCCACCACCATCATCACAAGGTGGAAATCCAGAATCCCCGCCATCCAGCTGCGTCGACTTCTCCTTTGCTGCATTTCAATAAAACATGTTAAGCCAGTTACATTTTCTCATAAACTTATACGTTGTACTCATAACATATACATTGTCTCATAAAATAAAATCATCACGTTTTTTTAACAGCTAGCTCCTGGGTGGGAAAATAGTACACAAAAACTTAGCAAGAAAGTAATATAAAAATCGGCAGCAGCTCATGGTGAAATCCAGGATGGAGACATATGTTTATCACACTAATAAGAATTTCGCTAAAAGAGATTGGCAGTAGAGAAACTAGAAACCGAAAAAGGAACATTGTTGATGCTTCAAGCGAACGGGCAGCATCTGGATTCTTACATGCAGTAATCCTACAAAAGCTGACGGAGTATGAAAGTGCTAGGATTGAAACAACATGGCTAAGTTTCTAAAACTAGCATGAGGTGATACATGCCTATTATCACCCCTTTCAATTATTCCAGAAAAAATCACTTAGCCCACCGTAACCTTCCTAACCACAATCAAACTTCACGTGGGACTGAAGTCGCTAGAAAATCCAAAGGAATACATCAAACAAATTTTGGCGGACTATTGAAAGTCACAGGAGCTTGGGTGATCGTTGGTGCTTCCCAAGTAACGGTTTGAGTTTGCCCTGATGCACTGCAAGTTGCATTCTGCAGGAAAAAGAAATCAGGTCAGAAAATCAGAAATGCAACATCAATAAAAGTATAGTTTCAGCATGCCTAAAGTGAACACACGTTCATAACACGTGCACACAAGTTTTGATCTGTTACACTAAATCTATTTTGGGCTTTAACTCTGTTTATGCTAGTACATGGTAAATATATAAGAGTTTTGGATTATGTTTACTAATCTAAAGGAAATCAATTTTCACCGTAAAAATAAAAGTGAATAGCTACAGAGACAACAGTACCAAAGCAGCAGCAGCACATAGAACGGAGAAACATTGGTTTCTACGTCTTCCAACAATAGGTTGTGATTGCAAGCCAAGTCCTCTTGGCCAAATTCGTGTGGGAATTCGAACCGCACCACAACAGCCACGGCATTTAATTTGTGGCTCCAAACGATGTCCTGGCGAAAACCATGACCATTACTTTTCACAAATCTGATAAAATTCAATGAATGACAAAAGAAAATTCCAAGAAAACCAGCTAGAACAAGAGCATACCGTTAGATAGTGAAGGCAGCAAGGGAGAAGTAACACTAGCAGTCAGCCTTTGCAAATGCATTTGCAAATAATAATTACAGCAAAGGCTATTCGGGTAAGAACAAAACCTGGAAACATACTAGATTCACAACAATGAAACCCCATAAAATATTTTCCATTTTCAGCGAACCCACATGGTTTATAATTATCAACCCTATAGGCTAACAGCACCCAAGAGAATCATGGAAATAAAAAATGACCCAATTCTTTTACCTAATTACCACAACAAAAACAACATCAAAAGGCATGGTTGAAGTGATAAAACCGACTTGATTCATGGATTAAGTCCAAATTAAAATGGTCATTCATGGAATTGAATATAATACAAAATACAAAAAGGAGAAAAAATTGAAACCTTGAAGAAGCTGCTGGCTACGAGAAGCCCAAGAAGGGAAAGTTACCGTCTTTAAGAAGGAACAAGAACCGGGGATTGTAATCCAAGTCGAGGAAGACAAAGAACGAGGCTCAAATAATGGCGTAAGGATATAAAAATGCATATAATTTGCCGACTTTAATTAATGGCTGCCATTTTATGGACGTGTGGGAATCTAAAACTTGGGCATAGAGAATTGGATATGAGCATGAGCCAATGGATCAGGCCTCGCATACATAGGTTTCTAAATTCAGGTCAATCTTAATTATTGATCTCACATTTATAAAAAGGTAAAATAACTTTTTTACTCCATTACATTTACAATTGTTTTCATATCCGTTACATTTTTTCCATTTTAACATTTTAAAACTGTAAACGTAGGTAATTAAAAATTCGTTCTACTCAATACTTAAAAGTATATGTCATTAAATAAATGATATAAATTTTATTTATTTTTGAATGTCAATGATTAAATTGATAAAATTGTAAAAGTAGAGGATTAAAAAATATTTTATCCTTTCTATGGATGATATAATAATATTTAATAATAAAATTTAAGAAAATTTAAGAAAAAAAATACTATTTTAAATAAAAATAATAATATATAGAATTGACATCGTAAAATTGAAATATAAAGATTAAATTTTAAAATTAAAATTGTACAGATATTAGTGGCATGTTATAAATTTTCTATTGGTCTCTCGGTATTTTTAAAATAAAAATAATAATATATAGAATTGAAATCGTAAATTTGAAATATAAAGATTAAATTTTAAAATTAAAATTGTACAAATGTTAGTGGCATGTTATAATTTTTCTATTGGTATCTCAGTTTTTTATGACTTTATCTTTCATGTTGTATATTTAATTTAGGTGGGTGACTCTCTCAACGGTAATTTTATACATACGTATATAAAATCTCAAACTCAAAAAATTACCACTTGAATCAACTATATTAGTATATTATAAATTTTTTTATTGCACTTATAATATTACATAAATATTGACATAAAAATTAACTAGACTTTATGCTTAAATTAGAGATTAACCTATCAAAGTTAGCTCACATAACATACTAGCCTTTTTAAATGGTTAAATAAATCATGTCGAGCACACACAATGTTATGATTATTAATATTTTTTTTAAAAATCATTGATATTTAATTTATTAACTAATTAATTTAAATCAAATATTATAGAAATTTATTATAAAATTTAATTTATTTTCATTTACAATATTATAATTCGAATATTTTATTTTACTTAAAAGAATTAACCTTTCATTCCACTCTATCAACTTATAATTGATATATTTTGATTAAAATTATATAAATCAATCAACATTTTTATTTTAAATATTATTAAAATAAATTGAGTATTTAAATTTTCTTTTAACTGTCATATCGACGTGGATTTAATCAAACTCAAGTCCCACTTTTACGGTTCAAAATTAACATCTTTAGTTATAAGATTATCAAATTCTCACATTGAATATTTGAAGACAATGTTCATAGACGCACTTCGTTGCCTACACTCAATCCAGTTTGTGTTTATGCGTATGTGTCTTCAACACATATTATACATATTTTAACACCTTTTTTTTCTCTCTTTTGACTCTTATCAATACAAAATTTAAAAACTCATGCCATATAAATAAAGACGGTGTATTTCAACTTATCAAGTGACCTCAGTGATGAAAATAAATGTCAATCTCCCTAAAAGTTTTAGGTTTGAGTAACGACATCTACAAGGTGCGTATGCGTATTGTCAATAAGTTATGAAAATTAAAATTCTGAACATGTATTACTTTATAATCATCTCAATTTTTTTTTTTAGAAAAGAAGGTGCATGTTTTCATCATATCCTAATCAATAGTTTATGCACATTCATTATATTTCAATCAGCAGATTAATGTCCAGCTCATATAATCATCATACTTTTAAGAGAAAAGAATAAATTTTAAACATATGAATAATCGATATATTATATTTTTAATAATTATGATATTCAACAAAACAATACACCATAATTGAAAATTATTTGTATACTTTACCCTAATAAATAAATAATTAACTAACCTTCCTCAATTTATCTAATCAATTCTGACTTGGAATTTCTTTTGAAGAAAAAAAAAATTCCTCAACAATGAAATAATACTGCATAGATCTTCTCCCCACCAAACCCTATATCGTTGCAAATGGTTTTTGCTTTCAAAACCTCTGTTTTGTCCTTTCTCTTTGAATTCCTTTCCTTTATTTTTTGAATCCCAGATTTTAGTTTTTTTTTATATATATAAAACCGTTAAATAGACGATTCGGTTAAATTATTCGAGTTTTCGTGTTTGGGTTTTCTCTATTGAGTTGTGATTCTAAATTGTTTATATAATGGATGCTTCTGAGAATCCTGAGCGATTTGGCGATACTTCTACAGGTTTGATATTCGACTCTTTTTTCTTTAATCTACTCTATTTATGCTCTTGACTGGATAAAATCAGCTATGGGTTTTGTTTGCTATAGTTTGGTTTAAGCTAGAATTTTAGGTTGTATCAGGTTTAAATTTTAAAATAAAGAATGTTTTTGGTACATATGGAGAACTACTGGGCCTTTGGCTACATAAAGGGTGGTAATTGCTCCCGTTTAGATTATCCCATATCTTATTCGTTGCCAAGGAGATGGAGTTTCAAGCTCTAGCCGTTGCGATGTCCCTTTGGGCATACTTTACAATTGGCTGCTGTTGTTCGTTTGCTGTTTGGTTTTAAGAAAAAGAAAACACAAGACCCCCTTTTTTCATGGTTCCCATGGTTGTGTTTATACTTTGTTTACTGCTGAAAAGCCTGAATTAATGTTTGTTTCACTTTTCCTTTTATTTTCTGAATTTATCTCATCTTTATCTTGTGAGTTTTTCTTTTTAATTTATTGTTGAAGTGTGTTCTTTTAGTAAAATTAGTTTTTTTCTATGGTGCAGGAGATGCAGTATTTGACGCATCGCAATATGCATTTTTCAGAAAAGATGTTCTTGAGGAGGTTGAATTGGGGGGATTAGATGATGACGAGCAGGATTTACCTGCAGTTGGACTTAATGATGAGGAGTTTTTGTTTGAGCGAGAGGAGGTTAATATTCTTGTGTCTTTTCACTTTTCTTTCATGTTTTAGTTATTCTTGCAAATTTACGCCGAGTAGGACAAAATCATTGGTTACTTGTTTGAAAAGAAAATTGCTTCCTTCGGAAATCATCCTGAAAATTATCCTTCTGGTGTAATGTTTGATGTTCTTGTTTCTGATTTTTCTGAACAGTAGGATTCCGCTACATTTAATTAGTGGCTGACATGCTATTGTTATTTAGAATGAAACATTGTGGGAGATCATATTATAAATTTTTATTTTTCCAGCCATGACACCGTAAACCTTGTTTTATGTATTTGTGATTTAACTATATATGCATCTAGAATTTTTATCACTCTTGGTGTTTCTTTCGGCCCATCTAAATATCTTCAAGCTTATCATTTTTTTGTAGTTGATCCTAGTGGAATATCTGTGTGCTAGCTGCTTTAACTAATTTCTTTTATTATTTGCATGGTGAAGTTTCGAGATCCTTACTGGACATTGATGATCTTGCTAATACATTTTCAAAGGTTAATCCAGTACATGATCATTGCATTTTGCAACTAGTGAGATAATCAAAGATCTTTTCCTCTCCTGAGGATTAGCCCCTAAATTCACATTTACTGTTAGCTTTAGATCATATCCAATTTTTAGTGAATTAATGGGATGAAACCATAACACATTACTGAAGCACCTCCTTACTTTTGAACTTGTGTCTCTCCCATTTCTTAAGATATACAAGAAATATTTAACCAACTCCTTTCAAAACCATCTGCTAGTGTTTCCATAATATTGCTCCTCCAAACTTTTATTGTAACACTAAATAAGGGCACTAGCTGCTACCAGAATCTTTCCTTGATATTTGGCTTTTGTTATAAATAGGAAGTCAATTTATTAAATTGTATCTCCGTGTTTCTCCTATATTAGATCTTTTGGTCGTAAAGAAGTCATAAAGAACAGAGTTCCCATCGTTTGTCACTATTTCTTAAATCATAATTCACTAGATGCATGCATGTTTCTTGGTGGTTAATTCTAGCCTGTCTATAACAATCGCTGATGCAAGCTTGTGATGTTGTTGCAGTTGGACACAGCTGTTAGTGGACCAAGAGGCTCTGGGATAATTTGTGATGGGGGATCCAGACAAAGTGAGTTTATTAATCTCATTACCTTGTTCTGTTAGTCAGTTGTTAATGATTGATGTTGTTGAGGTCCTATCTTTTTTGGATTTGTTTCTTGCTGAAGTCTTCGATATGTTCTATTTAGCATCAATGCTGAGTGTTGAAATTTAATAAAAGTATCGGTTACCTGTTTGACTTATGGGCTATAAACTGAAAATAATGTTTAAGTTCAGGAATACTATCATATGCTGGTAGGAAAGTTGATTTTCAGACTGCTTGACCTCTTTTAAAGGAAGAATCAAGAATCATCCAGTAGTTGTCGTGAATTCTCAGAACAGACATTCCCTTGCCTAGTCTGTTGATGATGCATTGTCATAGTTATAATTAATTAATAGTATACTTGCCGAAGGCTTCCTTTGCTACCATTTTTAATAGAAGGTTGTGCATGCATTGTGCTACCCATTTCTTTTGCTGATGTAAATGAATAGCTATTCAGTAAGACCCTACATCAGAGTGAAGGGACCCATTACTCCGACCAACAAACATACATCCAAGACAAATACCATACCTATATTGACTTCTTTCATTATGTTGTTGAAGGTTCATCTGCTGCCGAATCGACACATGGGGAGGAATTTCCTTACTGGCTTGGTCAGCAGCCACTTGGAACTGAAAGTATTCCTGAAGGTAAGCGCTGGTCATCACAACCATTGGCCAATTTGGACTCAAAGCATCTCTACAGGACATCCTCATACCCTGAGCAGCAGCAGCAGCAACAACAATACCATCAACATTTCCTTAGTGAACCGATTTTAGTTCAAAAATCTTCTTATACTTCATACCCTCCCCCTGAGGGCAGATCTCCTCAGGCTTCACCGAACCAACATGCTGGACACCTGAATATTCCTTATAAGGTTGGTGGGCCGCAGATGGCATCTTCGCCAAACCTCTCTGCCTTCTCAAAATCTCAGCTTCAACAGCCTGGCTTACACCATGGGCCACCTTATCGTGGGAATGTTCCTCAATTTGCTTCTGGTCTGTCTGTCGGTAGTCAGCCTCCAAATCAATGGGGGAGCCAGCCAAAATTATATGGAGATAATTCCATTGTTTTGAACAATAGGCTGCAACAACAATTATCTCATCAAAATGGTTTCATTCCACCACAATTAATGCCACAACTGCAGTCACACCAGCAGAGACTGCAGCATCCTGCTCAGCCTTCTGTTGGCCATTTTTCAGGGATTCAGTCACAAATATTTAATACTCAACTTTCTCCTTCCCCACCTTTAATGAACAAGGTTGAGGCTATACTTGGTATTGGTGATCTGAGAGATCAAAGAGTCAAAACAGCTCAGAAAGGCAGGCAAAATCTACGGTTTTCACAGCAAGGCTTTGATAGTGATAGACTGAAGCGCGATCTTGGATGGCCTCAGTTTATATCCAAATACATGTCAACTGATGAGATTGAGGGCATTGTTAGAATGCAGCTTGTTGCAACCCACAGTAATGACCCCTACGTGGATGATTATTACCACCAGGCTTGTCTTGCAAGAAAATCTGCTGGGGCAAAGTTGAGACATCATTTTTGCCCGACTCAGGTTAGGGACCTTCCACCCCGAGCACGTTCGAATTCTGAGCCTCATGCTTTTCTCCAGGTTGATGCTCTTGGGAGGGTTCCTTTCTCTTCAGTCCGCAGGCCTCGCCCTCTTCTAGAAGTTGACCCTCCAAATTCATCTGCTGGCACCGACAATGATAAAAAAACTTCTGATATGCCTCTGGAACAGGAACCTATGCTTGCTGCTAGAGTTACAATAGAGGATGGTCTATGCCTTCTTCTTGATGTAGATGATATTGAGCGGTTTTTACAGTTTAATCAGTTGCAGGATGGTGGAGTCCAACTAAGACAAAAACGGCAGACTTTGTTGGAGGGGCTGGCTACATCAATTCAGTTGGGTGACCCACTTGGCAAGAATGGTCATACGGATGAGCTTGCTCAGAAGGATGATCTTGTGCTTTTACGGATAGTTTCCCTCCCCAAAGGTCGGAAGCTACTTGCAAGGTTCCTTCAGCTTCTTCCTCCAGGTGGTGAGCTCATGCGAGTTGTCTGCATGTCAATTTTCCGTCATTTAAGGTTCTTGTTCGGAGGCCTTCCCTCTGATCCAGGAGCTGCTGAAACTACTATTAACCTTGCAAGGGTTGTTTCCTCTTGTGTTCATGGGATGGATATCCGTGCACTTAGCTTCTGTCTTGCATCTGTTGTTTGTTCCTCAGAGCAGCCCCCTCTTCGTCCCCTCGGAAGTCCTGCTGGCGATGGGGCGTCATTTATTCTGAAGTCTGTTCTTGATAGGGCAACAAAACTCATCACAGATTCTAGAGCTGCTGGCAATTATAATATGACAAATCTGTCCCTTTGGAAGGCCTCATTTGATGAATTCTTTAACCTTCTTACCAAGTATTGCATAAACAAATATGACACAGTGATGCAGTCCTTGTGTATGCAGGCCAAACCAAATATGGCAGTCGATGAATCAGATGCCGCCAAAGCTATTAAAAGAGAAATGCCAGTTGATCTCTTACAGGCATGTTTACCCCAACTTAACGACCAGCAGAAAAAGCAGCTTTGGGATCTCTCTCAACGATCTATGCTTGTAGAGAGATTGTGATATATAAGCAGTACCTAGGAGAAGATTAAATTCTGACATGTTCGAGACAGCAGAAATTGATGTTCAGAATATTAAGCAAGCCTGTTGAGTGCTGAAAGGAATTCAAAGAACTATACCGTTTCACACAAACGTGATTATGATGGAGCACCAACAATGGTTCAGGTGAAACTCCAAAGATACATTTTAAGTAAAAGCCAATTTCCTTCTGAGATTTTAGTTTTGGTACTTGTTTTTTTAATCCCCTCTTTTAGCAAAACATCGAAGTGGGAGTATGTGTATTATTATAGAAATTCTGCAGGATATTTTCCCTTGTGTCTTTACCATATAATCGAAGCTTATTTTGTTGCTCTGTTGTGAAATTTCTGGTATGGAGATATTAGTTGGTTTGTGTATACAGGGCTTGGTACTTATATACCATATTCCGGCTATTATTCTCGATGAAGCTGGATGGATCCTGTGTTGGTTTCCCGCAGAATAGTTGTCACCATCCAACTTAGCAGACACCGGTTATCGGCAATGTAGTTTTATAGGGAGGGAGGTATAATTATCAGTCTTGCCTGTGGAGCTAAAATGTTGAGTTTAGCTCAAATAATGGGAAACTTCAAGCTTTTGTTTTGATCCTTGGAATTTATTATTTGTAATCCCTCTTTCCCCTTTCCCCTCATTTTGTTAAGGAAAAGGCTGTATTATTATGTATCTTAGTGCTGCATTTTGATATTGGTGTTGATCCAAAGGCTCTCGTTCTTTGTATCTTTTTATATATTTAAAAGATTTTGTTATTAAATACAGTGTCTTACACTCCTAATTCAAGAACCTTTGTGGTGGAAACTCTGTTTTGAAAATCGGATCGGACCGGTCGGTTCAACCGAGAATCGTTGCTTAGTTCGGTTCAATCTAAACCGGTTGAACCGTTATTAGTGAACCGACCAGAACCGTTGAATCGTTCGAATCGGACCGACTGAAAATCGGAAAAAATCGGGAAAATCGGGATTTTTTTTAAAAAAAAATTAAACCAAACAACGTCGTTTGTTAAACGAGTCAAATCGAACTCGAGTATTGCTGAGCTCGACTCGAACTTGAAAACTTTAAAAGTAAGTTCAACTCAACTCAAACTCACAAGCTAAAAATTATCAAGTTCAACTCAAACTCAAATATAATATTGAAACTTGAACTCAAAAAGGTTTGAACTCAAAAAAAAAAATAGAAGCTCGATTGAAGCCTAAAATTCGAGCTTAATTGAAGTGAAAGAATAATTCACTCAATGCTCACCAACAGGCTCCATGATTTTGAATGTCAAATTACCTCTATTATTTATAGAAGTTAGTTGTGATGCGCTTCTATGTTTCTTAGTAATGTGAGATTGTTTTGTTCTCATATTTTTACTCTTTAGACTTTTTGGATGCTCTTTTATGTTTCTTAGCCATGTGGGATTGTTTTAAAAAAATTAAACCAAACAATATCATTTTGTTATGATTTTTTAACCCCAAATTTATTTTTTAATTATAGTTATATAATTATATTTATTATTTAATATGTTTTACCTTAAATATTATGTTGTAGTTAATTTGAATTATTTTGTTTCACTTGATTTTATGGTTTTTAACTTGTATATGTTATGACTTGCTTTGAATATAACTTGTGATATAAAAAATCATTTTTTATTTAATTTTTTATATAACTTGCTTTGAATAAAATTTTTTAAAATAAAAATTTTAAATTATTCTTAAATTCAAACAAATATAAATAATGGAAAATTTTGAAAAATGGAAGTTGGAAGTTTAAAGAGAAAGAACAGAGGGTAAAATACATAAATAATCTATTAATTTAAAATAAAGAATTAAATTTTTAGAATTAGGATCAAATTAAAATAAAATATAAATTTGGTATTAATTTTATTAATTATACGTCATTTATCGTCAATTTTTAACAGTAATAAACTATTTTTTTTTAAAGATGAATGATTATTTTATAACTTTTCATAATTTTAAGATGATTGATGATTCAATTATGAGTTCTTAGCGCATAAATGAATTGCACCTACGATATTTCTTTAGACAAACTGTCAATCTCGTCCAAGATACACCACCATTTACACGGCCTCAGAAGCGGGTGATCGATCCAATTCAGCACCAGTTGATAATCCGATTCTAAGAGGAGATATGCTTTGCCAGTCCACCAGTTTTCTGAACACTTTCAGAGCTGTTAGAATAGTTGATAATTTTGCAAATTCCGAACCGAAATCTGATATTGGACCGGAGAACAAGGCTCCTACATCTCCGGCTGAAGTTCTTAAGACACCTCCGCAACCTGCTGCCCCTTGATTACCTCCCGGAGGAGGGCACCAAGAATTAGCTTGACAGAGTCAACAGAAATGCAAGTTATTGGGTTAATCCACTAGTTCTCTTCACTGAGAAAAACACTCTCATCCACAGTTTTGATCCATACATAAGCACGTATCTATGTGGAAAAAAACAGTTTAAATTATAATTATTCAAATATAATATATATATATATATACGATTATAATTATTCTCTTACATGATAACAAAATAGGGTCTGATTTAGCATAGAAGAGAATATTCCTCCTGGATTCATATTTAGATTATAAGCAACATTTCAGCATGTAAGTTACTGACATTAATTAACGACTGCTTAATTAGATTTCATTATCATCAGATTGTCACTTGTCACTTGCAGTTCGATGGTCTTTAACTGCCTCTTAAACCCTGTAAATCAAAAATAAAAATAGAAATAGAAATACAACAAATTAATTTTCATAACTATAATAATTAAATTAGTATTGCATATAATGATAAGTATTATACTCTTAAAAAAGAAATTTATATTTGAAAATAATTATAAATTCTAAAAAAACATGAAATATATAAAAAATACTTATAATAAAGATGTTTTTTGTTCTTTACAAACTTACTGCTCATACTCGATGTTGATTTTGCCAGCACTAGGGTCAGCAATTGCAGAAAAAGCCTCTTCAGAAAGGTCAATGGTTCCTTGACACCCCGGAGGAGGACAATAATCCACGACTTTTACGACGACCGAGTCACCCCGGCAAGGCTGCGGCACGCCGGCATTGGTGGGTCCGGTACACCTTACACGATAATTTGTATTGCAGGCCGCCCTGTTGTTCCATATAGTGTCACTCGCGGCGGCGATCATAACCCCGTCGTCTTGAAATCCATTGCATGAAGAAGCTGAAAACGAAACAAAAATCGAATAAACTCTGCAGACTGCAGTAATTATCGCATGTTGTTGATTTTGCATCCCTATGGAAGGTTTAATAGAGTCGGGTTCGTGAACCCTCCAACAACTTTCCATATGACCAAGAAAAATAAATTGCAGGCATTAGGTATAGATGGATGCTTACGGACATAAGGCGGAGTATAGAAAGTAGCAGTTCCTGGATTGGCAGATGCAACCATGGCCATGGCCATTGCCATTATCATCATAATCGTCATACCACTCTTTACCTTAGCCATTGCTATTTTTTCTGAAGATAATGAAGTCTATATTTTTATTTGTTTTACGGAGAGGAAAGCTGGTATTCCGTTTATTTATGGAAGGAAACCTCGACAGTCAATGTACCATTTAATAATGATAAATACTGATCATATCCAAATTGACTAAAACTTAGCAAAAGGAAACCATTCCTTAAATTTATTTCCCTGACTTAATCGTTTACAAAGATGTGGCCAACTCTATCTATAGGACGGTTCTATGACTTCCAACATAAACTAAACTAGGAAAAACTTAGCAAAGGAAATCATTTCTTAAATTTATTTCCCGACTTAATTGTTTAGAAAGATGTGGCCTAACTCTATCTATAGGCCGGTTCTATGACTTCCAACATAACTAAAACTAGGAAAAACTTAGCGAAAGAAGCCATTTCTTAAATTTATTTCCCCGACTTAATCGTTTACAAAGATGTGGCCTAACTCTATTTATAGGTCGGTTCTATGACTTCCAACATAAATTAAACTAGGAAAAACTTAGCAAAGGAAGTCATTTCTTAAATTTATTTCCCTGACTTAATCGTTTACAAAGATGTGGCCTAACTCTATCTATAGGTCGGTTCTATGACTTCCAACATAAATTAAACTAGGAAAAACTTAGCAAAGGAAGCCATTTCTTAAATTTATTTCCCGACGTAATTTTTTACAAAGATGTGGCCTAACTCTATCTGTAGGCCGGTTCTATGACTTCCAACATAAATTAAACTAGGAAAACTTAGCAAATGAAGCTATTTCTTAAATTTATTTCCCCGACTTAATCGTTTACAAAGATGTGGCCTAACTCTGTCTATAGGCCGGTTTTATTACTTCCAACATAAACTAAACTAGGAAAAACTTAGCAAAGGAAGTCATTTCTTAAATTTATTTCCCCGACTTAATCGTTTACAAAGATGTGGCCTAACTCTATCTACAGGTCGGTTCTATTACTTCCAACATAAACTAAACTAGGAAAAACTTAACAAAGGAAGCCATTTCTTAAATTTATTTCCCCGACTTAATCGTTTACAAAGATGTGGCATAACTCTATCTATAGGCTGGTTCTATGACTTCCAACATAAACTAAACTAGGAAAAACTTAGCAAAGGAAGCCATTTCTTAAATTTATTTCCTCGACTTAATTGTTTACAAAGATGTGGCCTAACTCTATCTATAGGCAGATTCTATGACTTCCAACATAACTTAAACTAGGAAAAAATTAGCAAAGGAAGTCATTTCTTAAATTTATTTCCCTGACTTAATCGTTTACAAAGATGTGGCCTAACTCTATCTATAGGTCAGTTCTATGACTTCCAACATAAATTAAACTAGGAAAAACTTAGCAAAGGAAGTCATTCCTTAAATTTATTTCCCCGACTTAATCGTTTACAAAGATGTGGCATAACTCTATCTATAGGTTGCTTCTATGACTTCCAACATAAACTAAACTAGGAAAAACTTAGCAAAGGAAGCCATTTCTTAAATTTATTTCCTCGACTTAATCGTTTACAAAGATGTGGCATAACTCTATCTATAGGCTGGTTCTATGACTTCCAACATAAACTAAACTAGGAAAGCTTAGCAAAGGAAGCCATTTCTTAAATTTATTTCCCCGACTTAATTGTTTACAAAGATGTGGCCTAACTCTATCTATAGGCCGGTTCTATGACTTCCAACATAACTTAAACTAGGAAAAACTTAGCAAAGGAAGTAATTTCTTAAATTTATTTCCCCGACTTAATCGTTTACAAAGATGTGGCATAACTCTATCTATAGGTTGCTTCTATGACTTCCAACATAAACTAAACTAGGAAAAACTTAGCAAAGGAAGCCATTTCTTAAATTTACTTCCCCGACTTAATCGTTTACAAAGATGTGGCATAACTCTATCTATAGGTCGGTTCTATGACATCCAGCATAAACTAAACTACGAAAAACTTAGCAAAGGAAGCCATTTCTTAAATTTATTTCCCCGACTTAATCGTTTACAAAGATGTGGCCTAACTCTATCTATAGGTTGGTTCTATGACTTCCAACATAATTTAAACTAGGAAAAACTTAGCAAAGGAAGTCATTTCTTAAATTTATTTCCCCGACTTAATCTTTTACAAAGATGTGACATAACTCTATCTATAGGTTGCTTCTATGACTTCCAACATAAACTAAACTAGGAAAAACTTAGCAAAGGAAGCCATTTCTTAAATTTATTTCCCCGACTTAATCGTTTACAAAGATGTGGCATAACTCTATCTATAGGCCGGTTCTATGACTTCCAACATAAACTAAACTAGGAAAAACTTAGCAAAGGAAGCCATTTCTTAAATTTATTTTCCCGACTTAATTGTTTACAAAGATGTGGCCTAATTTTATCTATAGGCTGATTCTATGACTTCCAACATAACTTAAACTAGGAAAAACTTAGCAAAGGAAGTAATTTCTTAAATTTATTTCCCCGACTTAATCGTTTACAAAGATGTGGCATAACTATATCTATAGGTTGCTTCTATGACTTCCAACATAAACTAAACTAGGAAAAACTTAGCAAAGGAAGTCATTTCTTAAATTTATTTCCCCGACTTAATCGTTTACAAAGATGTGGCATAACTCTATCTATAGGCCGGTTTTATGACTTCCAGCATAAACTAAACTAGGAAAAACTTAGCAAAGGAAAACATTTCTTAAATTTATTTCCCCGACTTAATTGTTTACAAAGATGTGGCCTAACTCTAACTATAGGCCGATTCTATGACTTCCAACGTAACTTAAACTAGGAAAAACTTAGCAAAGGAAGCCATTTCTTAAATTTATTTCCCCGACTTAATCGTTTACAAAGATGTGGCATAACTCTATCTATAGGCCGGTTCTATGACTTCCAACATAAACTAAACTAGGAAAAACTTAGCAAAGGAAGCCATTTCTTAAATTTATTTCCCCGACTTAATTGTTTACAAAGATGTGGCCTAACTCTATCTATAGGCCGGTTCTATGACTTCCAACATAACTTAAACTAGAAAAAACTTAGCAAAGGAAGTAATTTCTTAAATTTATTTCCCCGACTTAATCGATTACAAAGATGTGGCATAACTCTTTCTATAGGTTGCTTCTATGACTTCCAACATAAACTAAACTAGGAAAAACTTAGCAAAGGAAGTCATTTCTTAAATTTATTTCCCCGACTTAATCGTTTACAAAGATGTGGCATAACTCTATCTATAGGCCGATTCTATGACTTCCAGCATAAACTAAACTAGGAAAAACTTAGCAAGGGAAGCCATTTCTTAAATTTATTTCCCCGACTTAATTGTTTACAAAGATGTGGCCTAACTCTATCTATAGGTCGGTTCTATGACTTCCAACATAACTTAAACTAGGAAAAACTTAGCAAATGAAGTAATTTCTTAAATTTATTTCCCCGACTTAATCGTTTACAAAGATGTGGCATAACTCTATCTATAGGCTGGTTCTATGACTTCTAACATAAACTAAACTAGGAAAAACTTAGCAAAGGAAGTCATTTCTTAAATTTATTTCCTCGACTTAATCGTTTACAAAGATGTGGCCTAACTCTATCTATAGGTCGGTTCTATGACTTCCAACATAAACTAAAGTAGGAAAAACTTAGCAAAGGAAGCCATTTCTTAAATTTATTTCCCCGACTTAATTGTTTACAAAGATGTGGCCTAACTCTATCTATAGGCCAGTTCTATGACTTCCAACATAAACTAAACTAAGAAAAACTTAGCAAAGGAAGTCATTTCTTAAATTTATTTCCCTAACTTAATCGTTTACAAAGATGTGGCCTAACTCTATCTATAGGCTGGTTCTATGACTTCCAACATAAATTAAACTAGGAAAAACTTATCAAAGAAAGTCATTTCTTAAATTTATTTCCCCGACTTATTCGTTTACAAAGATGTGGCATAACTCTATCTATAGGTCGGTTCTATGACTTCCAACATAAACTAAACTAGGAAAAACTTAACAAAGGAAGTCATTTTTTAAATTTATTTCCCCGACTTAATCGATTACAAAGATGTGGCCTAACTCTATCTATAGGCCGGTTCTATGACTTCCAACATAAATTAAACTAGGAAAAACTTAGCAAAGGAAGCCATTTCTTAAATTTATTTCCCCGACTTAATCGTTTACAAAGATGTGACCTAACTCTATCTGTAGGCCAGTTCTATGACTTCCAACATGAACTAAACTAGGAAACACTTATTAAAGGAAGCTATTTCTTAAATTTTTCCCCAACTAAATCGTTTACAAAGATGTGGCCTAACTTTATCTATAGGCCAGTTCTATGACTTCCAACATAAACTAAACTAGGAAATTATAAACCAAAATAATTATTAGGATTTAATCAAAACTTAGCATTATTGAATTAGGTTTCAGCCGAACTTATCATTATCTCAAACCAGTTTTCATAGAAATCCATTGAGGGATAGTTATAAGGGTTATTATTTTATCTACGGGTAATAGAGATATAATACTCTGTAAACGTATTCTAATATTGTCATGTGTTTCATTTATACATCTTAAACTTTAATTATTAAATCTTAAACTCAAAAAACATAGGCTTGAGTATTAAACCGGAATATGTAGAGACTGAGAGCATATTACAGCGTAGCCGAAGGCTTATATTGGAAGCCAATTGGAAGCCAAACAAGCCCATGCAGCGCATGCAGCTAGTGTTCTGAACCAAACTAATGGAACGGAACATAATCATGGGTGGCAGCCTCCACCGCGAAACTGATGCAAACTCAATACAGATGGAGCGAAAAAGCCGGCCACAGGTCTGGCAACCTGTGGAGGAGTCTTGCGCGATGAAAAGGGTGAGTGGATCATGGGCTTTACAAAACTCGCAGGATGTTGCTTGGTGCTGAGGCAGAACTCTGGAGGATATATGAGGGTTTACTCGGTGCATGGGAGAAGAATATTTAAGCAATTATCGTCAAAACGGATAACAAAGAGGCATGGTCGCTTCTTGTGAAAGGGGAAGACATGGAGATGATATCTCCAATGGTCCCGCACATATCCCAGCTGCTTAGGAGGGATTGGGACCTACAATTTCGACATATCCCTCGGAATGAAAATAGGGCTGCCGATAGCATGGCCAAGGCAGCGTGGAATATGCCAACTGGACTTCATTCCTTCACTCAACCACCAGAGGAGCTGAGAAAGCTAATAGAAGAAAAGGCACGAGGAGGAGAGCAGGCTAGTGCTATTTTTGTTTAAACCGTGATGTTTTCTCTTTACATTCAAAAAAAAAAAACTTATGGACTTGAAGAGTATTTGAACAAGAAAAATAAAAAATGAGTTTATTTTCACTAATTTTAAAACTATAAATGACTTATATAATTTAACCATAAAATTCTGACACATTCCTTAATTTCATTGATTTTAAAACTAGAAATAGAATTTAATAATAAAAGTTAGAGATTCACAACTTAATTTCATTTATTTTTTTAACTATTATGGAGTTAAGATATAATTTAGTCACAAAAGTTGAAGGATAAGGCCAGGCCACCACAAATGTAGTTCTATACTTCTATCATTGCTCACTTAACTGATAAATTAAATTTTATTATTAGTTTTTGTAATATATGTAAGTTGTAGATCTAATTTGTTTTCACTAATCGATTATTTTAAACCCTTATATCTTAACCATATTGTTCCTAGGCGGTTTGAATTATAACTGAAATTTCAAATTTAATAAAGTAAAAGGGCAAAAATGATTAATTTGGAATATAGTGGCTAAACTCACAATTACAAATAGTACTGGGCTAATAAAGGAATTTGACCTTTACCTAATCTTTGTTCTTTTGGCTGGGCTTATGCTGTTTTTTTTGGGGGGGGGGTTGAAGCCGCCCATAGCATCTTTTTGGGCTAAAAATCACATCTTTTCATTCTACGAAAACCACCACGTTTGAACTTTTCTCTTACGTTGATTCCCCCTACTGGTATCTTCTTTCCCTCTCCCACGCTGGCCTTTCATCAGCGTCCGCCGCTCCAGGTTAGTCCACCCTTTATCTTCATAGAAGAGCTTTTCGAGTTGAAAAATGGATACAATATTTGGGGATTAGATTTCAATATCTGGGTTTAAATTTTTCTTGGAGTTCCTTTTTTTTTCTGTTTTTCTTCTTCCAAAATATGATTTCTCTGAATGTTTAACAAAGGTTTTTTTTTCTTTTTCTTTTTTGTTGTAGATGATTTCTAGTGTTAAAAAATGAACTTCAGTAAGATGGGTTAGCTTAATCCTACAGTTAATCTCCTTTTTAGCTGCACAATATTTTGAACATCGATGGTTTATTGCTAGTTGTTTGCCATTGTCGTTTGTTTGATACTGCGGTGGTATGTATATCAGTATATGTGACCTATACAGTTTTTTCTTTTGTCTAAGATCCCTAGCAATGCCCCAATTAAATCCAGAATCAATCCGGGTTGGATCCTGTTTCAGGAGATGAACTCTCCAAGTCTTTTTCTCATTCACATGTCTCGAACTCAAGTCATTACTTGAAGGGCATTAAGCTCCTTGCCACTCGGCTCAACAAATTCTGGTTCGAATTATACTTCTTTGGAAACTTATACCATGCTTGGGGTACATTGCTTTCGCTCGTAGTAGAGCCATTTACCTGTTGTTATCGGTGTCTTTCTAAACCAGTTGATTTAGTCCAATATGATCATGGGAAATGAGTTTGCTTAAATTTAAGGCCTTTTTTCACCTACATTGATTTTCTCATTTTCAGGTGAAATGAAGCGTCTTTTTTAGAATGTGTGCAACCTTGATTCTAATTCTTCACTCGCCAGGGTTGTCGGTTTTTGATTAGTTTTTCCAAGCTGCATGTGGCAGATGTCGGTAAAGTCATGTGTATGGTTCTCATTTATACTTGTAACTCTCATATCACATACTTATGTAGTGTATGCCATCTTCATCATCTCGTTTAGTGTTACAAGGCCTGTCTATATCCCGAATCCAGAAGTTCATTCCTAAAAAGTGGAAACAAAGTGTCAAACCTGTAGATTTTCTATCCGACAAACCGTCTGAATCATATGATTGTGAAAAGAATGAGTTGAATACTTTCACAACTGATTTTGCATCTATGATAGAGAACCTTGTTGCATCTTTCAAGGAACTTTTAACCCAAGGACATATACTGAAGGCATTTAAATCATATTCTCTTATTCGGCTCCACGTCTCTTCCATTGATTCTTATGATGTTATCTTACATCCCGTCTCTCGTCTTCTTGTATCGTGCACCAACCTTAAATTGCTTCCGCCAGGAAAAACAGCTTCATGCCCAAATCATCTCGCTGGGTTTGGAACAACACCTTCTTCTGGTTCCCAAGCTCGTCACATTTTACTCTAAATTTAATCTTTTGTATGATGCTCGGGTTGTTGCCGAGAATTGTACATTTTTGCACCCGTTACCCTGGAATTTGCTTATATCTTCGTTTGTTAAGAACGAGCTTTATAAAGAGGCACTTTCTGCCTATAAAAAAATGGTGAATAAGGGGATTATACCCGATAATTTCACCTACCCGTCTGTTTTGAAGGCTTGTGGTGAGGAACTGGATGTCGTTTTTGGGAGGATGGTTCATAGGTCAATTAGTGCTAGTTGTCATGAGTGTGGAACCTGTATGTGCATAATGCTTTGATTTCCATGTATGGAAAATTTGGACAACTGGATGTTGCTCGTGATTTATTTAACAAAATGCTGGATAGGGATGATGTCTCTTGGAACACGATGATCAGTTGTTATGCCTCCAAGGGCATGTGGGGGGAAGCATTTGAGATCTTTAATCGCATGCACGCCGAAGGTGTCGAGCTGAATTTTATAGCTTGGAACACCATAGCTGGAGGATGCTTGCGAACCGGGAATTTTAAGCGTTCTCTGGAGTTGCTTTCTCAGATGAGAAGTAATGGATTTCATTTGGATCCAGTGGCAGTGATCATCGGGTTAGGGGCCTGCTCACATATAGAAGCCTTGAAATTAGGGCAAGAGATTCATGGTTCTGCGATTCGGAGTTGTTGTGATGAGTTTGAGAATGTTAGAAACGCATTGATTACGATGTATTCTAGGTGCAAAGACATAAGAAATGCCGATCTTTTGTTTCGGTCAATGGAAGAAAGGAGTATAATTACTTGGAACGCGATGCTTTCTGGTTACACTCACTTGGATAAGTCCGAAGAAGCATCTTTCCTATTTCAGGAGATGTTGCTTTCTGGGGTTGAACCCAATTATGTTACGATTGCCAGCATCCTGCCTCTTTGTGCTAGAGTGGCAAATCTGCAACATGGCAAAGAATTCCACTGCTACATTATCCGACGCAAAGTTTTTGAGGATTATTTGTTATTGTGGAATGCTCTTGTCACAATGTATGCAAGGTCGGGAAAACTCCTTGCAGCTAAGCGCGTATTCGATTTAATGCAGAAGAGGGATGAAGTTACCTATACTTCTTTGATTGCTGGATACGGGATGCAGGGCGAGGGACACACTGCTGTGAAGCTATTTGAAGAGATGGTTAATCTCCAGATCAAACCGGATCATATAACGATGGTGGCTGTCCTATCAGCTTGCAGTCATTGTGGTCTAGTAGTCGAAGGCCAACGTTGGTTTAAAAAGATGCAAAGTTTGTATGGTCTAGTTCCTCGTTTGGAGCACTTTTCTTGTATGGTTGATCTCTACGGGAGGGCCGGATTGTTGAATAAAGCAAAGGAAACCATCACACGGATGCCGTATAAGCCGACTGCCGCCATGTGGGCGACTATCTTGGGAGCTTGTAGGATCCATGGAAACACAGTTATAGGGGAATGGGCGGCCGAGAAACTCTTGGAGCTTAGACCTGAGAATTCAGGATACTATGTGTTGATTGCTAACATGTATGCAGCTGCCGGTTGTTGGAATGAACTAGCGAAAGTCAGGACTCTGATGAGGGATTCGGGTGTAACAAAGTCTCCCGGTTGTACTTGGGTGGACGTCGGATCTGTATTTACCCCATTTGTCGTGGGGGACACATCAAATCCTTACGCATCGGATATTTACCAAGCGCTGGATGGACTGACCGAACTGATGAAGGATGATGGTTATGTTGCTTCGAACACAATGGTTTTGGACGGTGAAACTCTTGAGGAAACCGGATGAAGCCTGGATTATATATACGGTGTGGTTCACTGATGGTGTTTAGTCCCCAAAAAGAGTAAACACATTTTTTCTATAGGAGATTCGATGATGGGTAGAGTAAACATTAAAGCAGGTTCTTCAAAATTATATCACATTTTTTATGCATTTTTGCTGCTAAACTAATCAGATATGTTAATCATAGTATTTTTACAATTATTTAAAAATTTAAAAATTGTGATTACATTTATTTTATAACCTGGACATGGATGATTGCAACTTCCCTTCTCTCGGATTCGTATACTTAGCTTCTTCGTCTTCTTCTTCCTGTGAAGATCCGATATATAATTATCTTTATTGTGATGGTGATTATCGCTTCCATCATACAGAGCTAGAGGCTAACTTTATGTACGTTGTAAATTGCTCGAAACCTATAAAATCATCTCTCTATATCGAAGCCTTTCATGGTATCTACAGATAGTTGTATTTACTGTATTGGAGGAGCAGGTGAACTTACGGAATCATTTTTTTTCTTTTTAATAATATAGAATAATTACAAGGTAGTATCTACTCATAATCTTTCTTTACTATTGACAAAGTACACATCCTGTAGACAAAACTGCTCGAACTAAGGTGATTATAATATAGTATTTATTTATAATTTTTCTTAATCAATGATAACGGACATACACCTGTTCGAACTCAGGACTTTAAGGAAAAACAACAATCCTTTAACGACCGGAGCCACTCAATAGATTCATTATAAATTCGTACTTATGCATTATAGTGTATATTGTTAGTGAATAAGATAATGGTACATCATTCAAAATGATGTTAGGTGAATTTAATTTTAAAACATTTTAATGATGTGTTATTATTTGATTCATTAACCGTAGATAAAATTTATACAAAAGCATAAATCAGAGTATGTGCTTTAGAAACCGTCTCATGTATAGACATTTTAGAGTGTAAGCAATACGTTGATTTGACAAAGTGGTGATTTTCTCGGATACGTTTTTCCTGAAAGTTGGATTCCTCACACTGAGGGATTTGCTTGGGATACTTTGTTTGGTCGTGCTTATTAGCTACAAATGGAGAGGAAGACATCTATCAACTGATGATAACATTGAAGAGTTCCTTAAAATTCACGATCTTTCACCAATTAGATACTCTTTTAAACATGTCAGAAAAATGACGAAGTTTCAAAGATAAATTAGGTAAAGGGATTACGGCTCTTAAAGGAGAGCTTAGAAGTGAGCATTATGTGGCCGTAAAACTACTTGGCAAATCAAAGGGTAATGGCCCAGATTTTATAAATGAAGTTGTCTTTATTGAGAGAATTCATCATGCTAATGTGGCAAAACTTATCGGATTCTGCGTGGAAGGATCAATGCAAGCTCTTGTTTATAATTTCATGTCAAACGGATCTTTGGAGAAAATCATATTCACACAAGAAAATAACAATACTCTGGGCTGGAAAAAGATGTTTGATACTGTGCTTGGTGTGGCTCGAGGAATTGACTATTGGCATCGAGGGTGTGACACACAATATTCTGCATTTTGGTATCAAGCCACACAATATTCTTCTAGACCACAATTTCAATTCAAAAGCTCCAAATTCTGGACTTGCTGAACTGTATTCAGTAAATGATAGCATTGTGTCTCTCACTGCAGCACGGGAAACAATAGGATATATGCTCCGGAATTGATTTACAAAAACTTCGGAGACATCTCTTACAAAGCTGATGTTTATAGTTCTGGGATGCTATTAATAGAAATTATTGGAAGGAGAAAGAATGTGAATGCATTTGCAGACAGCAGCAGTCAAATCTATTTTCCATCATTGGATGCTATTACTCTAGATTCTAAACGTATTCTCTCTTCTTTTTTCTTTTTCTTTTTTCTGACAAGCGACACCCACTCAATCAAGTGGTTACCAAAATCTCAAGTTACTTCCATTATGAACCAAAATAAATAAATAAATAAAGGGTTTTTAACTATTAACTATAGACATTATTGTTGCATCGATTAAATATTATTTTTAAAAGAATATAATGCGTTAATTCTATTTAATTAAGGAAATAATTTATCGATTAAATATTCTTTTTATAGAGATTACTCTAACAAATTCAAAGATATGTAAGCGTTGAAATTACCATTTATCTTCATATAAAATTAATAGTTCAATTTAAATTATTATGTGCTTCAAGTACCTTTATAAGAACCAAATTGATTGAATATGAACGATCTGAACTAAACAAGTTACTCATTTTCAATTCAATCAATTTGGTTCTTTAGTTCTTACTAAATAGTCACTAATAATTTTTTTATATTAGAGCTGAATAAAAAAATATGAATAACTTAAAGCGGAGGCATCTTGAAGGTGTTAAAAAGTAGAATAAATGAGAAGGAGGAGAGACCAAAAGTTGAGGAATCTATTAGATGCAGAAAAGCACGTTGTTTCATTCATTGATTCTCCTTTGCCGGCAGCCCAACCCACTCCTCTTATTTCTTTATTCATTTATTCACTACTAACTCTCTAACGTTAAAATTTATTTATTTATTCTAAAAGAATCATATATTAACCGTAGTAAAAGTTTTTTTTCACCTGTTAAAAAATTACCATTTTATTTGATTTTCTAACATGCAAAGATCTTTCCGCTCATTTTAAAACTAAGGACCAAAATGCACTCATGTTATAGTACTGCACCTATGCAATACTTTAATATATATATTATTATTATTATATATTAAAATAATTGAAATATGATACGGAAATAACAACACACGATATGAACTCAAATTTATGTCAAGTTCAATATAATATAATATAATTACAGTTTGTATTAAAATTTATAAAAATTACACAATATCTAAGCATTGGTAAAATCAGTGGCGGATGTAGGCTTTTAGGGTGAGTACGTATCTACCCTGAAATTCGTGCTTTTTCATATTAGTTGTTTACTGATAGTATATACGTCAAATTTTATTTGTGTCTACTAATGGATAAAATAAAAAATGAAAATAAATGTATATATATATATATATATATATATATAAATTATCAAGTTGAATAGGCCACCAAATTAGACCGAAAACTATAGCTTGCCTGCCACTACTATTTCCTACTTTATAGTTTTTCAATAACATTTTAAAACCCTAAGAAATGTAAGTACTAATGCAATTGGATTATAAGTGGTTTATGGTATAATTTCATAAATGGTCCTTAAAATTGATTAAATCTGTTAATGAGAGTGCCTACCCTAATACTATCAAAACCGTTTGTATACGGCAAGGGCAGGAACCTTGGCTCCCAGAAATGGTAAAATTATTGTTTAATCCAATTATAAATTTTAAATTTATAAAAGTTCAATAATAAAATCAAACTTTGACTCCTCTAAAAAAATTATAATTCAATTTTAATCTTCCAAAAATTTTCAAACTTCACCTGTTATAACCAAAAATAATGTAATGATATTTGAACAATTCGATGCTAACACGTGGCAATTATTGATTTATTTATAAATTATTAATTTTTTTTATAACCATCGGTATTCGATCTATTGATTGACTAATCCGGATCAGGTACTGCAGAGCCAAGGCCGACCCTCCCAACCTAATTTGCTTCATTCGCAAACGTCAGCATTCGAATCCTTAATCTTGCTTAAGGGATCTAGTGTCTCATCCCACTAAACCAACTGGTCATTAATTTAATATAAATATTTTCTTTAAATTTTGGAAAATATATAATAAAATTATGATATATTAATATTTTAATAGATTCAACGTGCACGTAATCTTTGAATTAAGTTATGTAATAATATTAGGATAAATATATATTTTAGTATTTAAATTTAATTTTAAACTATACTTTAATATTTAAATTTTTTAAAATCAACATTATATTATACTTTAAAATTAAATCAAATATAAAAAATATATATTTACCAAAAATATTAAGAATAACGAACTTTTATAAAAACTTACAACCCAAAGCGATGCTATTTTTGTCATCCACGTCATAAAATATAAGGATCGATCGATCCAGAGGGCACAAGTTGGGTGGGAATAAAATGAATAGTGGGCAATAGCCATAGATGCGAGACCACTCCTAAACCTAATAAAAGTAGATTCCACCCTACTGCCTATATTCTCCAAATCAATTGGCAAATTTAGTTCAACATTAATATTTTTTTAATCAATTTTTTAAATCAAGAAAAATTATTCAAACATTTTATACATGGGTTCAAGTGTATATATCGGTCACTAAAAGTATAGAATAGGAAAGATTGACCTATTTAAAGGTTAAGGTATACATGGACAAAAATAAGATACATTATAGGATTAAAATTGTTCAATTTTAAAATTTATAAGGACTTAAGAAATATTTAAATAAATAACGAGACCGACCTTTAATTTATTCTATTTCTGAATTAACAAGAACATAGAGTGTAGTCAAACCAAAACAATGATAAATCTAGGGTAAGTTATATTACAAGTCACTCTATCATTAGTAATATTACAAACGAGTTATTGAATTTTAAAATTATAAACAAATCATTCAATTAATCATTAGTTATAAATACGTAATTTTTTCATTAAAAATAAAGCATGTGTTAAAATTTTAATTACAACCAGATCATTCAATTTATCAGTTGTTGTAATTAGATCACTTTTAACTAAAAATTTAACGTTCTTTACATAATGATAGAGCGACGAGTTTATAACAATAGCTCAATTAATGACATTTGTAACTTTTTTAAAATTCAGTGACCGGTTTATAATCATACTAGTACTCGAGTCACTTAAATAGTTTACCCATAAATCTGTAACATGATCTAAATCTTCAAATGTCAAATCAGCAATCTTTACTGTTTATTCAAAAAATCTAAAATATAAGAAAATGACGAATTATTACTCTTAATCGCATTCTTGTTTTCAGTGTGGAGCTAGAGAATATGAGGAGAAACAGTCCCCCTTTTCTCTGCAAAGTTTGTTCTCTAAATCCTATCATGATAAGGCTATCCCCTAAAAGATGATGAAAGAGCGAAAAATCTCATCATGACGGGGAGGAAAGTTTGAGGTTCAATTCAAATAATCTAAGCTCTAATTCTGAAT